TTCCTTAGGATTTTCTACGGGCAAGGTCATGTCCATCTCCAGCAGGTAGTTGTTTTTTCTTTCTAACCTGGATGCCTTTTTATTTCCTTCCTTGCCTGGCCTTCCTGGCTACAATCTCTAGTACGACGACTGAATAGAACCGGCGGGAGCCAGCATCTTGTTCCCGATCTTCTGGGGACTTTTCAGTGTTTTGCCATTAAGTAAGATGTTAGGTGGCTGGTTGGTTGTTTCTGGTTTGTAGTTGTTATTTATCTGGTCAGGGAAGTTCCCTCCTATCCTGGGTTTGATCAGCGCTTTTATCATGAAAAGGTGTCGGATTTTGCCAAATGCTTTTTCTGCGTCTGTTGACATGATTGTGTGGGTTTTGTCCTTTTTTTCTGCGACTGTGATTGATTTTCATTTGTTGAACAGCTTCCCGTTCCTTGGAGAAATTCCACTCGGTCCTTGCCACAGCTGCTCATCTCTCATGCTCAAGGTTTCCACGTTTCTTTCAGAATAATTTATGCTCACAGGCTGTGAGCTGTCACTTAAGGGACAAACTTGTTTTAGGAACTGAGTGTCCCCAGGGACACATTCTCACTGGCCGGAGGGAGGCAGTCTCCGCCCAGGTGTCCCCGACCAACTTCTGCTACACCGGTGTCCCGTTGGGCTGCCTTCCGCCCCGTCCCTCCTGGGCTCTGGCTCATGTGCTGTCTGCACGATGTGAGTCTCCAGCGGTGGCCCCTGGGCCGGCGGCGGCGGCGGCACTTGGAAACTCGTCAGGAGTGTGAGTTCTTGAGCCCCGCCCAGACTCGGCGAGTCCGTGATTTAAGTGCCCTGGTCGTTCCGGTGCTTGCTGCAGTCTGACAGCCGCCGGTTATCATGCCCGGAACTGGCCAAGGGGCCCACAGATCCTCTTTCCTGGATTCCCCCTCCCTCAGCCTCTGAGTTTGGCATCTTTTTCCCACACTGTTGGTTTTCCTCTAATATTGAGTGATGTTGACCGTGAACTCTGCTTAGTATTTGCACCTCCCCCTTAGCCGGTCTCCGGATGATGTGATGTGTCTGGTTATTGCAAACAGCTGTCATCTAATTATTGGGGAGGGTAGGACATGCTGGAGGACATTAGCTTCTGGTTAATTCTCAGTGTTTTCTGCTTGCCCGGCTGTGCTGTTCCTCAGACGCTCGGCCCTTCCCAGCCCCGGGGCAGTTGCCTCTGTCCGCCCAGTGGGCGTGGGGGGGAGGCCCGTGCCCGCTGGGTGGTACAGAACTTCCTTTGCTGCTGCGTTTTCCATCCAGGAGCCCCTCTCTCCCCCGCGCTGGCCGGTCCTTTGGCCACAGACCTTCCTTGGTGGGATTGAGGTTGTGGCTCCGCCTCTGCTCGCTCAGCCTTACGGATTGGACCTCCGCAGTCGCACGGACCTCCCTGGGAGGGCCTCCCACTTGATCGTTTTGCGCGGGCTCTTTGCACAAACTTGGGAGCCAGCCCTGCCTCCCTCCATGGCTTCTCTGCCGCCCACCTTTCGCAGATGCCTGACGGCTTCAGGTCTGTGAAGGACACCCCTTCTTATTTCACGGTCCTGGCGAAGATGTATTTAATGCGGGAGAGGAGGCCTGGATCATGCGGTGAGCTCGCTGTCGTCCTCAGACGTGGGCCCAGGACCGGCCCTGCGGTGAGGCTGGCCAGCAGGTTTCCGTCATCCGCGGAACGAAGGGTGGACCCCCACCCGCGTGAAGGCCGTCAGTGTGGCTGTCACCCGCTCTAGCCGTTGTCGTTGTGTGGGGACAGCGAGCCCACCCTGGCCCGCGGGAACCCAGCAGCGCGGCGGCTCCCACGAGGGGCGGTCAGACCCTTCCCACGGCGGACTCCGGTCTGGGACTCCTCGCTTCCCGGCCGTGCTCCCCGCCTCTCCTGCTTGGCCTGTGCTCTAGACAGCCCTCCGGGGGGGCTGCAGGCTGACCAGCCAGCACTTTCTGGGGGCCTTCCGGATGCCCAGCCTCTCCCAGACCCCTGCCTTGCCCTGTTACGGCTCTAACTGGCCGCACGGCGGAGCTGGGCTGTCACTGCTGGTGCCGACCAGCCGGCCGCCTACAGCCATGCCTTCTGGGGTGTGCGCTTTGCATCCCTGTCTGCACCTGCAGCGATGAGGGGCTCCCCACATTCATGCCTCCCCCACCCCCGTGCACTGGACTCACCATCCCAGTGCTTTCTCCGTGCTGGTCCTTGTTGGGGACAGACCGATGGCTCAGAAATGGCTCCAGAGGGGGTGGGGCAGGCGCAGTCCGGGGAGCTGGTGGCCCACGAGAGCAGGACCACAGGACACAGGGGCGGGAGGGACACGCGGCCCCGGGGGCCTTGCTGGGCTCTGGACAGAGCCGGGGTCAGGAGCAAAGCTGCAGAGGAGCACGTGGGTTCATCTCACCTGAAGTCAGGGTGCGAGGTGCTGGGCTGGGGGTCGGAGAGGGGGTGGGGAGAGAGGGGTGGGGGGCCTGGAAGAGGCCGGAGGGGACGCCGATGCTGAAGGCCTGGAATGGCAAGCTGACTAGTGTTGGGTCGGGAGGGGGTCGCTGGGGATCCATGGAGTCGTTTAAGCCAGAGCCTCCTTCCAGGAAGATTATTGTGGAAGCCGTGTGCAGGGGTGCAGCGGGCTGGGTGACGGGGCACCTTGAGGCTGCAGCTTGGTGGGAGCAGGCGGGAGGGCGGGCTGCTGGCTTTGGAGCCCTGTTACCAGGCTAGCCCTGCACCCCAGCTGACACCGCCCCCCACCGTGGGGTCTGCCAGGCCCCCTCTGGCTTGTCGGGAGGGGAATTCCGAAGCCTTCCTCCTCCCCAGCCCCACCCCACCCCCCGTCCAAATGCCTCCCCAGCCTGCCTCCCCCAGGCCCCTGCCGTCCGAATGTTACCCCCCAGCTCCCCGAGGGCAGGGCCTGGGTTAGGGGTTAACTGTGGGCTCTGAATAGTTGTACCCTCAGATCTGCTGGTGAGCGCGGCCTGATGGGGCCGGGCTTGTGCTTGGCGGGCGGGCAGGCGCCCCGCTGCCTCCCGGAAATCTCCTGCCCTCCGGCTCCCAGCCCCGCCCTGCCTTCTCCTCCTCGCACCTGCCTGTGGGGGCCTGGCTGCAGGGTGGGCGGGGCCTGGCTGCAGGGTGTGCGGGGCCAGGGGCCCTTCGCCCTGTGTCTCGGGGCCTGGCAGCCATCCCGCCCGGGGCTGGCGGGGCGTCCGGCCCGTGACGTGGACCGCGAGCCCGTCAGTTGCCCGTCGGCCCGGGGCTGCCGGCAGCGGGAGGTGGGGCGTCCCAGCCGAGGCCCTGGCGTTGTGCGGCCTGGCATCGGGCCCCAGGAAGGTGTGCCGGCGACCTTGCACCTTGGGGAGCGGGGGTCCCCGGGCGTTGCTCCGGGAACTCGGGCTGCTCGGGAAGCTGCAGCGTGCGGCCAGGGTCCCCTTCAGGAGGGACCTCGGTCCTCAGGCTGGAGGCGCGGCCTCTGCGTTGCTCGCCTGTCTCCGCAGACGCTGGCGGGGCCACGTCGTGCCCTCACCTGGGCCGGGAAGCGGAAGAGGCCGAGACGAGGGCCGTTCAGCGTGGGGGTGGGGGTCTGCAGGGGAGCGAGGCCTCCGGCGGGGACTGGCGGCCTTCACGGGTGCCGGCCGGGGTGGTTCTCAGAGGACACGGCCCGTGTGACAGAGGAGGTGGTGGAAGGGCAGGTGGGGGTCCGGAACGCCCTCACCTGTGCAGGAAAGGTGTGCGGCTCCCGCCAGAACCACAGATTCAGGGAAGGAGACTCGATGGGTGGAGGGGGGCTGGGGGGGCGGCAGGGGGGCAGGTGGGTGGGGAGAGGGGCGTCGGGGTGAGTGGATGGGAGGGGAGCATTGGAGCGGGTGGGGGCATGGGGGCTGGAGAGGGTGTGGGGGTGAGGGGGGGCGCCAGGGTGGGGGGGGGCGGGGGCCGATGGCCCGGGGCGGGGTGGGGGGCACCAGAGGGCCGAGGAGCTCCGGGCGCTGTGTTCGCGAGAGGCCTGCCTCGCAGTCAGACCCGGAGGAAGGGGAGCCACTGCAGTCCATCCCCCGCAGAGGAGGGGGGGCGGGGGGGCCGCCCTCCCGGGGAAGCCGCCGGCACCCACCAGCCTTGCGCGGTCCCTGCCCCTCGCCCGGACGTAAGGACGCTCAGAGAGCGTGGCTGGGGGGGCGGCCGGGGCCGGTGAGGTCGCGGTCGGCCTGTTCTGTCCTCACTCGCTGGGCCTCGCGACTTGGTTGGGGAATAATTTATGCCCGAGGTTGAAGTTCAGAAAGTGTGTGTTGTGCTTCCTGACGGTTTGCGATGAGCCCGGCTGGTGGGAACTCAGTGGCGGGTGGCGTGGGCCCAGACGGGACCTAGAGAAGCTGGGAGAACAGGTGTGAGCGGGTCGCCGGCCGTCTCTCCGTGGCGCCAGCGTGAGGCGCCCTCTTCCTTCCTTGTGTCTCAGCGTTTCCCAGACTTTCAACGAGGAGATTCTGTGACTTTCACTGGCAGAAAAAACCTGCTCCCAGATGGGGAAAGCTGGTTCCATAGCCTGGGGGGCGGGGAGCTCTGCACGAAGGGAGGGTGTGCGGTCCGTGCACTCTGCAAATGTTGGCTGAGAAGCATGTTCCGGGTGTGGGGACACCGAGGAGTCCGAGCCTCAGAGGCAGACCCCGCAGGACCTGGGGAGCACGTGGGACCGAGGGAGGGGAAGGGCCGGCCGCCCCGCAGGCTGGGGAAGAAGGTGGTGCCTTTTGCTGAGCAAGGCTGGAGGGGGTGGCCCAGGAGCGGGGGCATCTGAGCTGTTGTGGGGGTAGCAGCAGGGCATGGGGGTCAGGAGCTGGAAAAGGGGCTGGCGATCTGCACTCTGACCGCCGGGGGTCCTCAGACAGGCCTGGCTCGTGCTTTGTGCTGCGTGAGGGCCCAGAGCGGCAGCGCCTGGCAGCGCACGTGCTGGAAGGGACCAGGCAGGGCACAAGGGGCCACAGCACCGGGACCCTCTCACGTGTCCGCTTTTTCTCCACAGGAGACGGGAGCGCCCTGTGCACATCCAGCGCCCTCCAGGAGAAGCAGCGTGAGTTCAGCCTGACCCCTCCTCGGGGTGGGCCCTGCCTCCTCGGGCCTGGGGCCCCTTCTCTTTCCATGAGCCGAGCTCCTTGAGGTCCGCAGCTCCCATATGCTGGGCAGCTCAGGAGCGGCAGAGCCGCAGTGAGGGCCAGGGGCTGCTGGGTCAGGCAGTTGAGCGGGGGGGTGGGGGGGGAACGACCCTGCAGAGCAGGGGGAGCAAGCCCTTCTGAGCCTTTGATGCCATGGGTCCCAGGTGATGTGGTGCTGGGGTCAGAAGCCCCTCGTTCAAGGCTGTGCCGGGTCATGATCCTGGACCCGGATCCTGCGTGGGGATCCCGCTCCCAAGGCCCCGCCCCTCCTCCCACAGGCCTGGCCCCGGGGCACCCGGTAGAGATGTCCGCGGGCAGACCGAGATCGGGGCGTCTGCCCTGCAGGTTCAGCCAAGCATCTGCGGCCGGTAGTGTTGTTTCTCAGCAGGCCGGGTCGGGACGGTCCGGTGCATGATGGGGGGGAGCCCTCAGAGCCCCCTTCTCCTCTCTCCTGCTGCTTAGACCTGTGGCTGCGGCTTTGGGGGCTCAGCCCGTGCTGCACACCCAGGCTCGCGCATCTCGGCTGCAGGAAGGGGTCTGCCCGGCTCGGGGCCAGCGCTGAGGACCTGTTCCGGGGGCCGGGGGGGCCTCTGTCAGGGGCATCCCAAAGCTCAGGCCGTGGTGCAAGGGGCGAGGAGGGCGGGGCTGGGCGGGGCTCACACAGTGCCAGGAGCCCAGCTCAGCGAGAGCAGGATGCCGCCCCGTGTGCACCCGGATTCCCTTCTCACCCGGTGGCTCGGTGAGGACCTGAGAGATCAGTCTTTGCGTTCCCCAAGAGGAAGGGCCACACGGAGGCGCCAGTTCTGGCCTGGAAGCAGAGGAAGCCAGGGTGTGTGAGGCCGGGGCCTGGATGGGGATTCCCGCAGCAATGGCGGCTGCTTTGACGAATGGCAGCCGGGGTGTCTGCAGCTGCGCCTGGGATTCAGGGCAGAGGGGGATTGGCTCGGGGGTAGGGGAGGCAGTCGGAGCTCCGGGCTGGTGGAGGGCACGTCCCACGCACCTTGTGCGTCCTGTCTAGGAGGTGGCTTGGGGAGGGGCAGTCCCCGACGTGCCCCACGGCACATTCCTCAGGTGTGGCCACTGTCCGCAGCCTCGGGGAAGTGACCGCCCCCCGGGGCCAGACAGCAGCTCCGGTCTGCACCCAGCTGCGTGACGTGGTTGTTCAGTGGAGACGCAGAGTCTGGTCGTCGTCGTCTCTGAACCGGGGTCATGGGGTTGCCTGGGGGGCTCCGTCGGTTGAGCATCCGACCTCGGCTCAGGTCGTGATCTCACAGTTTGTGAGCTCAAGCCTCGCGTCTGGCTCTGTGCTGACAGCTCAGAGCCTGGAGCTGCTTCAGATTCTGTGTCTCCCTCTCCCTCTACCCCTTCCCTACTTGCCCTTTGTCTGTCTCTCTTTCAGAATTAAATAAACAGCAAAATGTGTTTTTAAAAATAAAATAAAACTAAATTAGGGTTATGGGCCTTAGTCAGAATTCCTTGGCTGCAGGCTGTTCTCTGCTTCTGCTCCTTGAGGGTCTTACTCAGTAGGGGTGAGGGGGTGAGGGGAAAACAAGAGCAGGCTGGTGGGCCTGAGTGCACAGCCTGCAGTTTGAATGGCGGGAAGGACCATGACCTCGTAACTCCCTTCCCTGAGATGCCCGCGCAGCTGGCAGTTCTGCCGATTCTGTTCCGGGCGTGTGTCCGCAGACTTTGACATTTAGGTGCCTCCACGTCTGGGAAGTGACAGTCGTCGATGGTCGTTATTTACTCTTAATCCAGAGCTGGCGAAGTGGAGGCCCCCCCGACGCCTGTGACCCGGTGACGTGCCTCACCGTTCACGGTTTTCTCCCGGGTGCACGGTGGTGTTCCTACGGGGTCTTTGCACCCTCACTAGGGGCAGGGTGGGGGTGGTGCGAGTGGCCCCCGCGGGGACTCAGCGAGTCCCGGGGCTGGTGCCGCAGCCTCTGAGCTGGAAGGGAGCCGGACCCGGGTCGGAAGCCCCGTGCTTCATTCCGTGCTGTGACGCTCTGGGCAGGTTTCTGCACACCTCTGAGCATCGCTTTACTCCCTCGCGGAGAGAGGACCGTGACGTCTTCTTCCCAGAGTTGCAGAGAGGTGGAGGGGCCCCCGGGGCTCCGTTGTCTCACTCCGCCGGTGCTGTGGCCGCTCCGTGTCCCCGCACAGGGGTGTGTCCTGGGCAGGCTCCGGGCGCCGAGGCAAGGAGGCCCGCTGGGCCGCTCAGCCTCCGTCTGCAGCTGCACGGCCGGCAGCCCGCTCCCTCCGTGTTACTGGGACCAGGTTTCTGTTGGGGGAGCCGTGTGTGTGGGGCCCGCCTGGGGGCCGAGGACAGAGGGTCTGTGCCCCCGCCTCGCGCCCCCCTGCGTGCAGCCCTGTGGACTCTGACGTTCTAGCAGTCTCTGTACCTCCTGGTGTCCTGTCTGCTCGTCCCGGCTGCTCTAAGCTCAGCAAACGCCCACCGTGTATCCAGCGGCCTGACCTGGTGCTCGGCGCCAGGGCCCCGACGCGTCGTCTACACCCACTGTGGTCTCCGCACAGCCCCCGGCCCCCCTCCCTGCACTCTCCCTCCCTCCCACACCCATCCCTGGGCCGGGGCCTGGCGACCACAGTCTGGACTGCGTGCCATTACGGGCTCCCATCTGACCGGGCCACCAGCAGAGCCCCGCTTTGTCCGGGCTGCGTCCTTACGGCCGCCCTGCCCCCCGCTGAGCTCCGACCCTCGGCCTCGGCGCCTGTCAGGCAAACATCCCACGGGGGAGGGGAGTCCTGGGCCTCAGGACCCTGACTGTGTGTGTGGATCTGACCTCACATCCCACCACCAGGGCCGGCGACCGGAGGAGGCGCTCGGATGCCGGGGCCACTGCCTCGAGGCCCCTCCGTGTGCCCGCAGCCCCACAGGGTCCCTGAAGCCCCTTGCCCTCAGCTGGCCCCCCAGCGCCCCGGGAGCTGGCGTCTTTTCCTGGCCTGTGTGGGCGGCGTGCTGAGCCAGCTGCAGACGGGCTATATTTAGCCTGATTTAATGAGCTCCGGGTGGCAGACGGCCGCCTCTGAGCGTTTCCTTGCGTGGCCGCGGATGTCTGCTGGACGGCGTCTGCTCCCGCGTGTGCGCGTGCCTGTGCGTGGCCGGGCGTGTGCGCGTGTGTGTGCATCAGCGCGTGTGCTCACACATCGGTACGTTCCTTCCCATGAGGACGTGTTCACGCGGGTCTATCTGAGGAGCGTCTGCGCTTTGCTGGGCTCGTGTGCAGCTTGCGACACCCGTAAGGGTCTAAAATGGGAACAAATTATTAGCTCCCTCATTTGTTTGAAAAATATTTCACAAGCATCTTTTATGTGCCAGCATCTTGATTGTCTCTGGGGATAAAATGGAAGGTAACTAAACCCAGCCGCGGCCTGTGAGGACCTTACAGCCTGGGGACGGAGGAGACGGCAGACCGAGGCCCACAAGGCTGAGGACGCGGGCTCACCCTGGGGAGCGAAGCCGGTGGGGAGGGGGAGGGGAAGGACGGAAGCCCCCAGAGGCAAGGACCGCTGAGGTTTCCGTAGGAGATATTTGGGCCCAGCAGCGTGAAGAGGAGTCAAGGCTTGGGCAGCAGAATGTGCAAAGGCCCTGTGGTGAGAGGGAGAAGGAAAGGTTTGAAAAACATCCTATGGCCCCGGGGTTGAGCTCAGAGGGGAGGGGGGTGGAGGGGAAGCAGAGGAGCGGCCGATGGGATGTGGGACCACAGCACCCAGGTTGTGTGGAGCTGTTGGAATTTACCGTGTGACTCCCTGGGGGTCCCGGCGGGAAAAGGAAGGCGGTGCCAACGCAGGACTGAAGGAGGGCCCCCTGGAAGGACCGTTCACGGGCTTAGGGACCCACAGGTCCGGCCCCTCCCACCCCTGCAGGCAGCGGCCCAGCGCCCTCCCGCTGGCCGTCCTCACCGGGGAGCCCCAGCGGGCGGTCGCTGGCGCCCAGCCCTGCAGCCCCGGCCGGCGGTCCAGGCCCGCTGGGGAGGCCGCCCCACTTGGTCTCAGCCGGGGAGGGGGCGGGGGTCTCTCTTCAGCCGGAGGCCGTCTGTTTCCTCAAATCCTTTTCTCCTGGGAACCAAAGAGCTTCTGGAAACAGCCGTGAAGCCGTGCGGGAAGGAAGCCTGAGCGCGGGGAACACGGGAGAGAAGTCGCCCGCTACACGGGCACTGAAAAGTTTTCTCGGTCTTGTGGCTTCTGGGCAGGCCGCACAGGCAGACGGTCTGAACCCCGAGGGGACAGCCATGACGCCCGCGTGGCCCCCGCCCGGCCTCCGGCCGCCCGGCCCCCCACCCCCGAGGCAGCGGGTTCCTTGCGAATGCGAACATCTCCATAAATAGCCGCTCGCTCGTGCTTCTGTGTGTGCTGCCCGCAGATGGGCACAGACCGCGCCTCCCCTCCTGGCCCCTACTGGGGGTCGACGCGCGGGGGTCACGTCGGCTTCTCCGCGGCCGCGGCCGCACTCGCTGCCGGGGAACGTGCCGGCCGGTCCCCTTCGGCTGGGCACGCATGTTGCTTTCCGTTGGTGCCGCGAACGGCCAGGCGATGGTGGTGTGCGCCTGTGGCTTCCTGCGCGAGGGCTCCGGCCCGGCTGCCGCGGGCGTTCCGTGCCGCGGGTGTTACCAGCCCAGCCTCCTGGGATCCCAGCGGTTTCCACTGTCACCGGCCACGAGCCAGGAGGGGCTGCTCCCCACACGCCAGGCAGCACGGTGACTGCTGATCTGGGGGGTGAGGAGGGTAGTTTCACCGTGCCCCCCACTGCTCCGAGTGCCCGTCCCCCGTGCCGACGCCAAGCCTGGTCCGCGTCCCCAGCCCTTCCCCCACACGCGGAGACCAAGGCCGGCCCCTCCCGGCCCCTCCCGGCCCCTCTCTCCCCTGTAAACCAGGGAGGCACCCTGCTCCCTTGGGATGAGTGTAGGGAAGCCTGAGACCCTGAGGAGGCCGGGACCCCCGGGCACATCGGAGAGGCTGCGTCTCTGGGACAGGGTGCTGACCCTGCCGGGCCTGGCCTCCGCCCCCGGGGTGTGGCCCCTCTACCTCCCCCCACCGCGTGCTTTCAGGGGCTGGGTCTGGGGCCCAGACCCCCATGGGTCTTAGTTTGGGCCAGCACCTCGGTGGGGGGCCTACCAGCCCTGGGGGGGGCTGGGCCCCCTGGGGTGATGGGTCCAGGCTCACCGGGTTGGGTTCCGGCCCTGGAAGGGTTAAGTTGTCTCAGCAGGGGGAGGGGGCTGCCCCGCATCCACTCACTCCTGTAACCCGGTAAGAACTCCTTCCTCCAGGCCAGCACAGCCCCTCCCAGGCGACTGTGAACCTTCCCTGAGCCCTGAGACCCGGAACCCTCCAGAAAACCCCTGCCCCATTCACGGGGCCCTGCTCTGTCCCTGGCGGGACCCGCGTGAGCCCCCAGGGCGGCCTGAGCTGCCGTGCCCTCCTCATTCCGTGCCCACAGCCACGGACGCCCCTGCCCAGCCTGGGCTTGTGTCACGTGGCCCCGGGCCCCGAGGGGTCATCGAGCTGTGTCTGGGCCCAGCCCGTGGAGCGAGGCAGCCACCGTGTCCAGCTGGTTTCAGAACCCCAGCGCGGGGTCTTGGTTCCCGTCCGCGGGCGGTCCTCCTCGGTGCCCTCGCCGCTGGCAGCTCCCGGGCACGGGCGTCTCCTGGTCCTTCTGTGGGGTTTGCGTTGGGGAAAGTGGGGGCTGCGGCCCGAGATGTCCCCGTTGTAAGTGTGACACACGCTTGTATCGTCTGTTTGGCAGACATGCCCGTGAATAGTTTTAGACTTAGTGTGAGCTCACTCGCTGGGGAAATTTTGGAAGCTGGAGAAGAGTTATGGACACAGCCGTGATCCCACATCCGAACAGCCCCTCGGGCCAGCCGTTACCCCTGGTCCCTTCCATGCCCGCGTCCCGTGTGCGTTCTTGTCGCGGGCGCTCGCCCGCGGGCCTGGGGCTGTGGCCGGAGCCCCTGCTTGCCACGAAGTGAGGCTGTAGCTCCTCCCGTGGGCTCCCAGGGTCACTTGCGGCCGAGCGTGTGGTGCGTGTGCGTCCGTGAGCTCCTGGAGGACTGGGATCTCTTGTGGGCCACATGCTCACAGCTGGGCCCGGCTGTGCTCCCTGGAGGGCAGGGGTGACGGGTGGCGTGGCAGCTCCAGCTGGGGGCGCCCCCCGCCCCCAGCCCTGTGGGTCCCCGCGGCCCGGCAGTGGGGGGGAGGGGCAGAGACCGTGGGCCCCGTGGTTGAGCCGGTGACACTTTGCTCTGCGTGCCACGCACGTGGGTGCTGCCCTCGGCTTCTGTCTCAAGAGCTGTGTGGCATGTGGGTCATTAGAAGGGCAGTCACAGTGCGGGACTTTCCAAGGTTGTGATTAGGGGGAACCAGCCTCTGCTCTTCAGCTGGTGGGCATGCGGGGGGCGGGCACTGGGGCCGGCAGGCGGCCGTGGGCGCCCCCCGCCTGGGGAGGCCCGCGCTGGCAGAGCCGGGTCTGGGGCTCCTCGCCACCCTGCACCCCTGCCTGTGGCTCCTATCACCAGGGGCTCTGGGGATGGGGAAGGGGGGGGGCCGACGAGGCTCCCCAGTGCCAGCCGCCCGGGCACCTCCAGGAGATGCACATCCCAGCGGGGGACGCTTCCCCGCACCCCGTTTCTCCCAGGCGCCGAGCACAGAGACGCCTCACAGAACGCGTGTGCCCTGGGACCTCTGCTCGGAGCGGTTTTCACAAAAACGCCGCACTAGACCCGACAGTGGGTGATCCCTGTCATCACGGGGTCCAGAGGTGACGCAGAAATAGAGGAGGGCCTCGCGGCGCTGAGCCAGGCCCTGCTGGGCGTGTCGCGAGGTAGCCGTCTCTGCCTTGGCAGATCCGAGAAGGCTTGCCAGGGGCCGGGACAGTTGGGCAGGGTTTTGCAGCACAGGTAGGAGTTTGCTGGTCTGCACAGAGGAGGAAGGCCGTCCCAGGCACAGGCTCAGCGCGAGGCAGGGGGAGCGCAGCTGCCTGCGGTGGGGGCCAGCCGGGCCTCGTCGTCGTGGTGGGAACGCCGGCTCCTGGAAGAGCGGAGCGCGGGCAGGGCGCACGGCCGGGCCCTGGGGCTGCCGTCCTGCCTTCTGCGGGGGCCTCTGCTGGGGCCGGGGACGCGCCTCCCCGGGGGGCACCCCCAGTCACGCTTTCCCACACTCGGGGGCTCCCCCTGCGCTCTGAGGGCTCCAAGCAGATATTTTAAAAGCACGCAGGTCTCCGCTTCTCAGAAGGGCGCTCGGGCCGCACTTCGCCCCTAACCCGGCGTCGCCCCTGACCCGCACACGGGCGCTGCGGTACCTGGTGAGGGAAGGCAGGCCGGTACTTTCTGGGGCGGCTCCTGGCCCAGGCACAGCGTGTGCGCTGGCCCGGCGCTGCTGGCCGCCCTTCCCGCGGGAAGACAAAGGTTTCGGGTTGTGTTGGTCTCGGGGCGGGGGGGGGGGAGGGGGCGCTGGATGCTGTCGTCCCAGCTGGGCCCCCGGGGACGCTGCAGGTACTGAGTCCCCCGTCCCCCCGCAGGAGAACTGTACCGGGTTTCCTTGCGAAGACAGAAGTTCCCTGCCCAGGGCAGCATCGAGATCCACGAAGACAGTGAGGTGTGTGGAGCTCCTGGGGTGTCTGGGCCCCCCCTCTGGTCAGGATTTCAGGGGGACCCCCAGGCCGGTGGACCCTGGACTTGTTCTTCGTTGTGCTCGCTGGGTGACCCTGGGCAGGTCCTTGTCTGTCTCTGGGCTTCCGGCCCCCGTGTGAACAAGAAGGGCCCCTGACAGCGAGGGGCCTGCTCTGCCAGCAGCCGGGGCGCCCCTGCATTCACAGAGGGTCCCCGCACCCCTCCACCCCTGCCCTTCTCAGGAAGGCTGCCTGCGGCGCTCCTGCAAGACACACGTGCTGCTGCTGGTGCTGCACGGGGGCAACGTCCTGGACTCGGGCGCGGGGGACCCGGCCTGCAAGGCGGCCGACATCCACACCTTCAGCTCCGTGCTGGAGAAGGTGACGCGTGCCCACTTCCCGGCGGCCCTGGGCCACATCCTCATCAAGTTCGTGCCCTGCCCTGCCGTCTGCTCTGAGGCCTTCTCTCTTGTCTCCAAGTGAGTCCCTCTGCCCACGGGGACTGGCCAAGGGGGGGTGGATGGCAAGGGAGCGCTGTCCCGGCTGGGGGTACCTTCCCCGGGCGTGCGTGGATGTCAGCCTGACTGGCCGTGAGCACACTGGTGGGGGGCGCGGGTGGGGGCACACTCGGTGCCCCGGGGGGATGTGTGTTGTGCCGTGGGCACCGGGGAAAAGCCAGGGGACCCTGCTGTGGCCTGTTCCCTCGCGTGTGAGGTGTGGACGGTGACGTCAGGAGCAGCTGGTGGAGGGTTTGTGAGGACCCTGTGTGCTCGTGTGACTCTCGGCTCCGTCCCGTGGCAGGGACGGCGCTCCCTCTGGGACATTGGGCGGGAGGGAGGGTGTTCCGAGTCCGGGCTGAGCACCTGGTGGAGGGATAAGGCAGCAGGCTCCCTGGGCCTTGTTCCCCCCCCCGCCCCCCGCCTCTGCTCACAGGACACGAGCAGTCCCGATCCAGGCTGGGACAGAGATTACCCAGTAGATCCCCTGAAATGCAGGACCTCAGGCCTCAGCCCCGGGGCCCGGGAGGGGAGGGGCTCCTGGAAGGAGGGCTCTTTCCGGCCCCAGCGTCGGGGCGCACTGTGCTCCTCCGTAATCAGGCTCAGCACCCTGGCCCCCTGGCTCCCAGACGCCCGGCCCCCAGAACCCGGCTAGCCAGCGCGGGCCCTGATCGCCAGAACTTGAGGGGAGGGGTGGGGACCCCACCTGTCCCCCAGGCCGTTCCGCCAGGCAGTCCCTGCGAGAGGGAGCTTTTCCAGCTAATTAAAACCTCTCTGGCTGCACCTGAGGCCTGTTCCCTCCAATCTGTGTTCTTTGGAGGTGAGGGACGGCCATCAGGCCGGCCTCGCACACCACGCGGCTCTGCTGCAGCGCCCTGAGCCCAGGCCCCGGCGGGGTCCACGCTGAGCCCTCGTCAACCTGAGTGTGGGCTGTGGGGGGGGTCACTCTAGCCAGCTGGCTCTGATGTCCCAGGGGAAGAGGCAGGCCGGCTGGGGGTGGGAGCTGGGGCAGGAGCTGGTCCCGGGGGGGTCAGGGCTGCCGCAGAGGGCGGGGCCTGCTTGTGGGACGCAGGGCAGTGAGGACGCAGTAGGGCAGGCTCACACCTTTCCGTGACGCCCAGGAAGGGCCTGGACCCTGTCCCCAGGAGGGCAGATGCCATGTGGTGCGCACAGCTGCGCACCCATCTCCAAGCTGTGGTTGACGCAGGTCCCCATGCCAGGAGCCCCCTCTCTCCTCTTTAGCGTCCATAAAGCCTTGCTTGAGGCCTAGTCCAGACCACCTCCTCCAGGAAGTCTGCTATGATATGTCCCCACCCTGATCCACACAGGTGGCTTCCTCCAAATCAGGGTGTTCCTGGGGGCCGTGCGGAAGAGGGCAGGGGAAGGCGGCCGTCCAGATGCCCGGCCTCACCCCTGCCTGAGCCCTGCCGGGCTTACCTTGACCCTGTCCGCAGCCTGAACCCCTACAGCCACGATGAGGGCTGCCTCGGCAACAACCAGGACCACGTGCCCCTGGCCGCCCTGCCCCTGCTGGCCGTCTCCTCCCCACGGTACCAGGACGCGGTGGCCACCGTCATCGAGCGCGCCAACCAGGTCTACATGGAGTTCCTCAGGTCCCCTGACGGGATAGGCTTCAGTGGGCAGGTAGGACAGCCTGGCCCAGCCTGGCCTGGCCTGACTGCTGCCCTCGGGCCGACCCTGACCCGAATCTGACCCCTGACCTGGCCTGAGTGCTGCCCTCAGGCCGGCCCCGACCCAGGATGAGCCCCCATCCCCCGCAGCGGCTGTGTCAGTGGCTTGCTGGGACAGGTCCCTTATTCTCCCAGGGACGAGGGGCTGGTGCGCTGGCCGCTGCGGGGGTGGTGGGTCAGCGGCGGGCAGGCCTTTAGTCCTGGCTGTCCGCTCCAGGTGTGTCTCATCGGGGACTGTGTGGGGGGCCTCCTGGCCTTCGACGCCATCTGCTACAGCGCGGGGCCCTCGGGAGACAGTCCAGGCAGTAGCNNNNCCTCAGGCTGAATCTGACCCCTGACCTGGCCTGAGTGCTGCCCTCAGGCTGAATCTGACCCCTGACCTGGCCTGAGTGCTGCCCTCAGGCCGGCCCCGACCCAGGATGAGCCCCCATCCCCCGCAGCGGCTGTGTCAGTGGCTTGCTGGGACAGGTCCCTTATTCTCCCAGGGACGAGGGGCTGGTGCGCTGGCCGCTGCGGGGGTGGTGGGTCAGCGGCGGGCAGGCCTTTAGTCCTGGCTGTCCGCTCCAGGTGTGTCTCATCGGGGACTGTGTGGGGGGCCTCCTGGCCTTCGACGCCATCTGCTACAGCGCGGGGCCCTCGGGAGACAGTCCAGGCAGTAGCAGCCGGAAGGGAAGCATCAGCAGCACCCAGGTGGGGGCCGGGCAGTGGGGATGGGGCGGGGTCCGCCCTCGGGGAGCAGGGGCCTGACCTGGGAGGGGTGAGTTCGGCCTTCACGCTGGCGCAGGGTAGCTAGCCTGCGAAAGGAAGGCGAGTTAGGACGGGTCCTGCGTCTGGGGAGAGAGGGGCCCGCCCGCGTCCGGGGAGGAAGCGGGGCCCCGCCGTCTGTGGCGGCTGCAGTGCCCCCCTCTCCTCTGCGCGGCCCCGAAGGACGCCCCCGGCGTGGCGGACGAGGCGAGCGGTCTGGCCGGCAGCAAGCGCCTCAGCAAGAGCAGCATTGACGTGTCCAGCGCACCGGACGACGAGGACGCCACGGAGCCCCAGAGGCCGTTGCCTCGCAAACAGAGCGACTCCTCCACCTACGACTGTGAGGCCGTCGGCCAGCATCACGCCTTCCTGTCCAGGTAACGCCTCCTGGGCCCCGTGGTCCTGGCAGCGCGGCGTCCGGGGCGGTGAGGACCTGCCCTGTGTCCCTGGCCCTTCCAGGGGGCCCCGCGCCCCGTCCCCGCGCCGCCCCGACCTGCAGAGAGACGGGACAGCCCCCCAGCATCGCCGACCCTCAGCTTCAACCTCTGTCGAGGGGACCCCCTTCCCCGTCCCCAACCTGCTTCCCTGTTGCGTCCAAGCACAGGCCGTGGAAGAGCAGACATGGGCGTGTTTTGTGAGCCACTCCGGGCGCTGTGGTTTCCCAGAAGGATCAGCAGGGAGGCCGGGAGGCGTCCTGGGTCGCGCGGCCCGGCACCAAGCAGCGGGGGCCGGCTCCTGGCTCCTGGTCCCCGGGCGGTCCCCCCCGCAGAGCTGAATGAGGTGCCCGCTCTCTCACTGGGGACGCAAGGGAGCCACTAGGAAGGCAGGCCCTGTTCCCCGCGGTCCCTCAGCTCTCTCCCCACAAGTGACAAGTGTCAGGAGGCCTTTACGAGGTCTGCAGAGTCGATCCCTTGTGACCACTTCGGAGTCTTTGCTCTGTGTGTATTTCGTGCGTTCTCTGCGTAGTTTTCCTTGGGAAAAGAACCCTACGCTGTGCTCTCTTTGGATCCTTTCCCTACGGGACACACATCTGGTAAATACCCTGAACGGGGAGTATTTCGTTGAGCGAGTGGACAGCTCTTCTCATCCCAGTGATCGGAGGCTTGGCTCCTTCCAGTCCGGGACTCACAGCCCGTGAGCGCTTGCGCGTGCGTCAGGCTGTTTCGTTCAGGCGCATTCCCGGAAGAGAAATCCTTTGACCACGGGCCCCGCACATTCAAATCTCTGACTGTTCGAAGCGCGGTCGCGGCAGGGCAGCAGGGTGGAAAATCCTTTAAGAAGGCCCCAAATTTGGGGGGGGGGTGACAAGAAGCTGGAGGGTTCCGGTAGCCGTGTCAGCACAGCCAGCTTTTCCCGCCAGCCTAGGGACAGATCGCGGTTCCGTCAAACACCAGCGATGTCCTCGTGGGAGAGACAGGAGCCCGATCCTGGATCTGAGGACCCAGATCCAGCTGCCCTGACCCCTCGCGTGTGGCAGGCGGGGGACTGGCCCGAGATGTTTGTTATTTCTCAAATCCCCTTTCCTCCTCCACGTGGAATATTCTCGCTGAATTTGCATTCAGTTACTTGATTCGTAGTTCGCGGCCTCCTGCTGATTGTCTCGCATTCCGAGCTGCACTAGGTCCAGGCGCCGCTCTCCTGCCCGTCCTGGGCGGCTCACTCTGGGGCCGGGACAGAGCGTCAGCGGGGCTCTCAGGAGCAGGGGCGCCTGGGCCGGTCTGGTCGCAGTTCTGTGCGTGGGCCTTTCTCTTGAAGGCCTGCTCCCCCCGCAGGTGACTGGGGAGGGAAGGGCTCGCTGGGTGCACCGGGTCTGCCGGTGGCTGGGACCCCTCGTCACGGAGAAGATGCCGGGTGCCGTGGTTTGGCTCTGTCTGGCTGGGGTGGCACCGACCGGGCCAGGCTCCGCCAGCAGATGGTGCAGGGGTGTGTGGGGGGAGGGGAGAGCTGGCGGGAGGCCCTGGTGAAGCCGGCCCGATGGGGCAGGCCTGCCAGCCCACAGGGTGCTCAGGTGCTCTCAGGCCCTCAGCCCAGCGGAGAAAACGTTTTCCTGGATTGTGCCGTGAGCGTCGGTCCAAGCACGGCCTCTGGCTGCCACGACGGCGGCTTTGGGTGGATGTGATGGAGGCCACGGGGCCCCGCAGTCTACACCACTGACCATCTGGCCTTCAGAGTGAAAGTGGGCCGACCGACCCCTGCCTCCCCCAGCTGTCGGCCAGGCCCCAGTGGCCTGCGCCGGGGTGGCCGTCAGCTCTCGGGCAGCCAGTGGACGTGGGCTCCGCCCCCTCCGCCTGCACACCCACACGTGCACACACTCCCTGAGCGGGTCTCTCTTCCCCCGGCAGCATCCACTCGAATGTGCTGAAGGACGAGGCCGAGCCCCCTGTGGCCCAGGGGCTCCCGCCACCCGAGGTCGGCCTGGGTCGCTTGGACTTCGACGTGTCCGACTTCTTCCTCTTCGGCTCGCCCCTGGGCCTGGTCCTGGCCATGCGGAGGACCGTGCTGCCGGGGCTGGACGGTGGGTGGCTCTGCTGGGAGGCCTTGTGTCTCTGGATCACTATGTGAGGGCCTCTGGCCAGGGGAGGGGGCGGGCGTGGGGAGGGCCGGGGCGCGGGGAGGGGAGGGCCGGGGCGTGGGGAGGGCCGGGCGTGGGGAGGGGGCGGGCGCGGGGGGGGGGGTGTAGGGAGGGCAGGGCGTGGGGGGAGCGGTGGCCCGGGGAGGGCCGGGGCGTGGGGAGGGCGGGCGTGGGGAGGGCGGGGCGTGGCGTTGGAGGAGGTGGAGGGCAGGCGGAGGGAGGGATGGCCCCCCGGATGGGGTGAAGGGGAGCCGCCCCCTGGACTCCACCTCCCTGTCACATGCCCCACGTGGACAGTCGTCAGGCTCCAGGGGAAGAGAAGCCACATGTACCCCCCTGCCACCCGCCCTCCCCGCCGCCCAGGCAGCCCCCCTGCGGCCGTAGCCTCCCCGCTGCACAGCCCCAGGCCCGTCCCAGTGCCTCTCAGACTGAACGCCCGCCCCCCTGCCCTGAACTGAGGTGATGGGAACCAGCCAGTGGCTTAGCAGGATTCTGGGGGTGCGGGAGGCTGGGGGCCCCCCGAGGGGCTACACATCGGGGCTTCTCCAACTCCTCCTCCACCGGGCTCACCAGCAGCCTCCACTGTGGGACGGATACGGAGGGAAGGGCTCTCCTTGAAGGCGGGGGGGAGGCAGAATCCTGCGCCGCCTCCGTGCTGACCCGGAGACCTAGGCTTCCCTGGACTCGGGGTGGGGTGGGCGTGGGTGGGGACCCCTGCTGGGCTGTGGGAGAAGTGTCCTGCCGGCTCTGGGGCCCTGCAGATGCGTCCCCGCTGGGGACCTGGGGTGCCGCTCCCGGTGGGGCAGGTGGGCGGGGCCCTGAACACCCAACTCGACCCGATGGCTTTGAGCCTGTTGGTAGTGGGGTGCACGTTCCTGAGCAGAGGGGTGGGCTGCTCACAGCTGCGCCCAGGGGGGCCTGCTGGGCCGAGGGGGAGGAGCCAGCCAGGGTCCCCCCCCCCCCCCGTGTCCCCGTGTCCCCCTCAGGCTTCCAGCTGCGTCCCGCCTGCAGCCAGGTCTACAGCTTCTTCCACTGCGCGGACCCCTCTGCTTCGCGGCTCGAGCCCCTGCTGGAGCCCAAGTTCCACCTGGTGCCGCCCGTCAGCGTGCCCCGCTACCAGAGGTTCCCGCTGGGCGACGGGCAGTCACTCCTGCTGGGTAGGCTCGTGTGTGTGTGTGTGTGTGTGTGTGTGTGTGTGTGTGCGTGCGCGCACGCGCCTGCTGAGCGGGGGCTGGGCTGAGCCTGCAGTGCCACCCTCTTGGGCCCAAGCTCTGCACGCGTTGGCTGAAGGAGGGACTAGACGCGGCCTGTGTGCACCCCTGCTCTGCAGCGGCCAGGCTCTGCCCCTGACAGGCTCCTGGGGCGAGGCCAGCATGGTGCTCGAGCCATCAGACCCGATGGCGAGTCAGGGTTCCATGCTGGGCCTCGCCTCTGGAGGTGCAGGCCTGGGGGTGTGTCAGCCCGGTGGACGTCATGGAGGAGGGGGCCTTTGACCCCGGCCTGACGCAGGTGGAGCAGAGCTGGAGGCTGAGGAGGGGGGGGAGCTTGTAGGCGGGAGGAGCGGGGGGGACAGGGCGGGGAGGCCAGGGTGTCCAGGGCCGAAGTGCGGTGAGCCGGGCACGCACAGGGGAGGCAGCAGTGCGGTCAGCACTAGAGATCAGGGCCTCGGCTCCACATCCTGGCCAAAGAGGTTCGGCCGGAGCCTCTTCAGAAGCGTGGGCCCGATTGGGCAAGGGTGCCGTGCCTGAGGCTCATTCAGGATCCAAAGCCAGCAACCCCCAATTTTAATGGAAACCTAATTTCCAAAGTCCTGCCTTGTCAGGAGCTTCCACAGTGGGAAGGGCTCTCCAGCCCCGCGTGTGTCCCTCGGGGCATCGCCCCGCCCCCGACAGCGCCTTAGCGCCCGGGCCAGAGCACCTGTTACCCCCCTCCCCTGGGCCTCAGGGGGTCTGCTGAGGAGGCTGTGGTTAACGGCCGCATCCAGAGGTGCCCTCCAGCTCTGACACAGACGGAGGGGATGGTTGGGACCCACAACTTAGAGGAGGCGAGACCCGGCCGGGCGCCCCTTCGAGCCCCGGGGGTTGAGGGGTGCAGGCTGCCTGTGTGGTGGTGGTGGGGGTGAGCGGCCGGGGGCCCAGACTCCCGCCCGGTGCAGGCTGCCCTGGGACACGGGGCCTGGCGCTGACTGTGACCTTGCCTCTGCAGCCGACGCTCTGCACGCCCACAGCCGCCTCTTCCTGGAGGGCAGCCCTCGGGACAGCCCTCCGCCCCCGGACGCCCCTGCCTCGTCTCCTCAGGCCCCGCGTGCCCCGTGCCCAGCACGGAGGGGGAGCCAGGACAGTTCCCACAGCGACAGCTCAGCGTCCTCAGACAGCCTGGTGCCCGCGGGCGCCTCCCGCAGTGAGTGAGGGTCTCGGGGCCCTGCCTGCTTTGAGGGAGAGGGACCCTCCCCGCCGGGCAGCCGCTGGTCCGCTGCCAGGGCTGCTGAGGGGGGGCGGGGGCGGTGATCCGCCAGACGGGCCCGGGCCCGGCGTTCACGGTGAGACCGGCCGCCTCCACGGGGCGGGGGCGGGGCTGGTGGCTTGTGGGAACCGGGCGGTCACGTCCCGGAGCTCTGGCCCCAGACCTGTGCCCTGAGTGGCCCGCTCACCACGGGGTCTGCGGGCCGGGGCCCCACGCCACCTCCGGGCCAAGGCCTCACCTGGGTCTCGGGCCCGCAGTCACGGCCAAGTGGTGGGGCTCCAAGCGAATCGACTACGCGCTGTACTGCCCCGAAGTCCTCACGGCCTTCCCCACCGTGGCCCTGCCCCACCTCTTCCACGCCAGCTACTGGGAGTCCACGGACGTGGTGGCCTTCATCCTGAGACAGGTACTGCTGGCCCTGCGTGGCCCCTCCGGAGGGCCTGTCCTGCGCCCCGGGGACAGGGGCCTGGCCGGCTGCATGGGCCCTGGGAGGGCGTGGGGGTTACGGGGTCCCGCGGGGGTTTTGTGGAGAACCTCGGCTTCTGGGCAGTGGCGTGGCACTTCCTAGAAAATTAAATAGAAACTACCCAGGAGAACGGACCCGTGTTCCACCTGGACGTGAGTCCCAAAGACCTCTTTCTCCAGGGCCTCTGTGTCCCCGGAGAGGCCGCTGACTGAGGGGGAGCCTCGGGGGAAGGGGGTGCGGAGGTGGGGTCGACGGCCAAGGGCAGGAGTTTGGTTCCGTTCTGTGCCCAGCGAGAAGCCATTGCAGGGGTCTGCGCAAAGAGAGAGGTGTGGCCTGGGCATATTTCGGGAAGGGATCCTGTGTCTGCTGCTTGAGGGGCCCCTTGGAGCCTGGCTTCGGGCTGGGAGCTGGTGCGGAGGCCCCGGGGCGGGGGTGGGGTTCCGGCAAGGCTTGGGCACCTGGGTGTGAGGCCCCGAGGGGTCTGCCTCTGCACCCGAGCACCTGGGGGGCTCCCTGGAGTTGGGGGGGGCTGGGCCGGGCTGGGTTCAGGAAGCCGAGTCTTGCGTCTGGGCCTGGGAAGCGGGAAGGGAGGCAGAGGAGGCTGAGGCGCAGGGCGGACGCAGATGGCACGTGCCAGTGACGGGCGGCGCCCGGCTCTGATGTGGGTTTTGCCCGCACCAGGCGGCTCTCCCCACCCGCGGGGCATCCTGCCGTGTAGCCCAGTCCTGACCCCACCGACCCGGAGGCACATCCGCCCCTCCTCGGGTCCCGTGGGGCCGCCGGGGCCTCCAGAACCCGGGGAAACGCTGGGCTCCCTGCGTCACCAGCTTCTCATGAAAGTTCTCTGAGCCCCATCCTTGCGGGTTTCCCTGGAGGCCTCACTGCCCAGCACAGCTCATCGGATCGTTGGTCCCTGGTGACTGACTGGACCTCCAAGTCCTCATGGGTCCCCAGAGGTCAGGGGGCGGGACGGGGGTGGGGGTGCCAGCCTCTGGTCACGTGGGGGCTGCTCCTGGCCACCAGCCCCCCCTTAGGTAGGGTCCAAATGCCACCTCACTTGCAAACAAAAGGCGCCTTTAGGGCTCTCTGGCATTTAGGAAATTCCTAAGGTTTTAGGAGCTCTGTGCAGAACGGACTGAGACCGGATCTGTCTCGTCCTGTGAGCTATGGGGGTCACTGTAGGCAGAGAAGTGCAGGGATGAGCCCTGTGGCTCCAGGGAGGAGCCTTGGACCCAGAGGGTAGAGGGGGAGTCCCTGGAAGACAGGAGAGCCAGGAGAGGGAGTGAGCCTCCGGGCTGGGCCGGGCCCGGCAAAGTCCAGGCGCAGAGAGGCCTGGGGGAAGCCTGCGGGGGGGGGGGGCAGGTGCAGAAGGAGGCAGGTGGGAGCCACGCAGGGTGAGTCTTCAGTGGGGCGTGGCTGCGGGGGTGCCTGGTTCTGACAGGCATGGAGTCCATCCTCAGGATGGAGACTGGAACAGCAGATTTGGGTGTGGAAGAGCAGTGGGGAGGGGTGGCGCCCTGGGGCCGGGTGGGGACGGAGGCCTCCAGTAAGGACCGCCCGCCTGAACAGCAGGCAGGGAATGGGACCCGAGCAGGGGCTGCGGGTTTGGGTGCTGTGCGCAGAGGCTGCTCCCAGGCGGAGCTCTGAGAGCCCGCGCTCTGCCCCGGCTGTCAGGGTGGCAGCAGACAGGTCCTGGGGCTCCCGGCCTCCCGTGGGCCCTGAGGCCCTGACAGCCTGCTGGGAGGAGGGGTCGGGTGGACCCAGCTGACCTGGAGCCCCGCGCGGCTGTCCCTCAGGTGATGCGCTACGAGAGCGTGACTGTCAAGGAGAACGCGGGCGTGGATCCTGCCGCACTGAGCCCCGCCAACCCCCGTGAGAAGTGGCTTCGAAAGAGGACCCAGGTCAAGCTGCGGGTATGTGGTAATCAGCACCGTGTCCCGGCGGGGACGGGGGTCTCAGGTGGTCTCAGGGAGTGGGGCTGCCCGGGGGGCTGAGGCTCCGCGTGGCAGGCGGGGCTGCAGGCTCCAGGGAGGTGGGGGTGGGGTCGGGGCTACGCGGGATGAGGGACTTGGTCCCGGTGCTCCAGGGTAGCACCAGGGCGGGGTTCAGGGTGCTGGGCACGGGGGCGAGATGCCAGCTACGGAGCAGTTGCTGTATGACAGCCTCTGGAGACGTGGATGTGAGTCAAGCAGGGTCTTGCCCATGACCGTGGGGCTCACAGTCTGATTCACCTTTGAGCGTGGCCTGGTGTGGATTTGGCCATGATAAAAGGAGGCACAGGTTAGGAAGAAAACGGAGAAAAGGATTCGGAACAGACCACACAGGGCTTCCCTGAAGGAGAGTCACCTCTGTAGGGCATTGAAGTATGAATAGGAGTTTGGTATGCATAAATTCACTTATGTACTCAGCAAAGCATCGTCACTTGGGGATGTGGCCCACTGTGCCGGGTCCACAGACACAGCCACTGCTCCGGTGGGCAGTCTGGTGGGAGCCTCAGACGTGGACCCTGAGGACAGTCCTGAAAGGCAGAAGGTGATCGGTGCTCTGCGGATCAACTCTGTTTTTGCCACCTTATTTATTGAGCTATAATCACATTGTTACAACTTGTCCGCTTAAAGTGTACAGTAGGTGGATTTGTGTATAATTCTGTGGATTTGAGCGTGTTCACAGATGGTGTGCAATCACTGTGGACAATTTTAGGATCTTATGGTCACCTCGGAGAGAGACCCCTTTCCCTGTAACCACCCCCCAACCATGATCCCTGTCCCCCTCATTGCATTTGACGGCCAAGGATCTCCGTTGGACGGACCCATTTTATTTACTCGTTGGTCAGTTGTGGGCTACTTGGGTGGTTCCCACCTTTTCTCTACCATGGACAGCGCTACGGGTTCTCGTGTGGATGCGTGTTCTCCTCCCTCATGGGGTCCAGCAGTATGGGTTTGATTTGCGTCTCTCCGTGTGTCTGTTCCCGCTAGTGAAGCCTTTCCTCTCCGGAGTTTTAGCAGCACAGCCTGCACCGCTGCCTGACCGTCTGCGGGTCTGGGTCCCGGAGGCCGGTGCAGACGAGGGGTCCGCTGAATTGCATGTAGACGCCATGGGAATGGAGAGTGGGGGTCCACGGGGCACTTCTCGGATGCATAGTGGGGAGGCTGGAAGGTGGGGGCAGGCAGAGTTGGGGGGGAAGGCCCTGGAGCCCCAGGCTCATGATAGCAGGGGGCCACAGACTGAGGTCACCGGGCACGGCTGTGATGCTGAGCTCAGGACTGGGACTTCACTGCAGGCCCCTGGGCGTCAACAGTTCTTTTCCTTTTTTTTTTTTTTTTTTAATTTATTTCTGAGAGAGAGTGTGAGCAGGGGAGGGTCAGAGAGAGAGGGAAACACAGAATCTGAAACAGGCTCCGGGCTCTGAGCTGTCAGCACAGAGCCTGACACGGGGCTTGAACCCATGAACCGTGAGATCATGACCTGAGCCAAAGTCAGACGCTTAACTGCCTGAGCCCCCCAGGAGCCCCAGTTCTGTGCTTTATGGATGGGAGGCGCCGGGCTCATGTTCACAGAGGACCCCCCTGAGGGCTGTAAGCAGAGCCCCGGCCAGAGGGAGCTCCGGTGTAGGCACAGACGCCGATGGGGATGGTCACCGGCTTGAGGGGTTTGGCCTTGGCGAGGCCGGGGTGGCTGGTGTCCGGGCCCGAGGTGGGCCTTTGAGCTGTGGGACGAATTGAAACCGGAAGTGGAGAAGTCTGGGGAGCCTGGGATGGTTAGAGACAAAATGACTCTGTGTCCGAAAAGATCTGGAGCGGGGGGTGGGGGGGGGGGACCTGGGAGGCCGTGGCTGGCGCGGGTGCATGCGGGTCCTCACGCACTTCTCCACGCCCTGGCACGTTCCCGTTCCCAGTAAGGGGACGCCTGGTGAGTGGCTGTGGGGGAGACGGTGATGTGGAAGGCAGGCCGGGGGCGCCAGGCTCCAGCCCACCGGCCGAGGGGGAGGACAGTCGGGACCGGCCGCCACCTCAGGGCGCAGGGGAGGGTCAGGAGCAGCGCGCTTGTCCGTCTGCGGGAACCCGGGTCCACGGCTCAGAAAGGGCGACACGTCAGGGACCCGTGTCCCTGTGGTCCTGCGGATAGTGTGGCCAGGAAGTGTGTGGCCAGCCGTGGTGGCAAAGGCCCAGCTGGTCTCTGCTTTCAGAACGTCACCGCGAACCACCGGGCCAACGACGTGATCGCGGCGGAAGACGGCCCCCAGGTCCTGGTGGGGCGCTTCATGTACGGGCCCCTGGACATGGTGGCTCTGACCGGGGAGAAGGTGCGGGGCCGCGCCGGGGGGCGGGGCCGGAGCGGGCCCGGAGGCCCGGCGGGGGGCGGGCGGGCGGCGGAGGCGGCGGGATGGCCTTCAGGGCGGCCCTGGCCCCTGACCGGCGCAGGTGGACATCCTGGTGATGGCGGAGCCGTCCTCGGGCCGTTGGGTGCACCTGGACACGGAGATCACCAACAGCAGCGGCCGCATCACCTACAGCGTGCCGCGGCCCCGGCGCCTGGGGGTGGGCGTCTACCCCGTGAAGATGGTCGTCAGGTAAGACCTGGGGCCGCCCCCGTGGCCCTTCCAGCCGGGCCGGCCGCGGGCAGAGCCGTGGGGTGCCCCCGTGTGGGGGAGGCACGCGGCGGGGCAGGCCGGGCCCCCGGCGCACAGCGGCCTCGGGTGCGGGCCGACCAGGCAGTGCCTTGCAGGGGCGACCAAACCTTTGCGATGAGCTACCTCACGGTGCTGCCCCGGGGCATGGAGTGCGTGGTGTTCAGCATCGACGGGTCCTTCGCCGCCAGCGTGTCTATCATGGGAAGCGACCCCAAGGTCCGGCCGGGGGCAGTGGACGTCGTCCGGTGAGCCTTCCCTCCCGCCCCTTCCCAGCGGCCCCGGGAGAGCTGGGCTCCTCGTTTTCTGGGGGGCGGCGCTGGGCACGGTGCGAGGGTCTCCACAGACGCCTGCGAGCCCCTGCCTCCCTCCCGCCTCGGCTTAGTCTCTGCGGCCAATCAGGCCAGGTCTCCCGAGTTCTGATTCCAGGCGGGATCCAATCGGCCGTGTCCTGGTCTCTGGGAGAAGAGGCTCCAAATGAAGCTGCCAGAAGTCACCCTTCTTTAGTCCGTGTCTCGTGGTTCTGTGGGTGGGCTGTCATCACGTGGGGTGTCCCCATGACGCACAGCCGGGTGATGATCTGGGCGAGGGGGTCACCCGCGGCTCCCCGAGAAGGCCTCTGTCCTCACGAACTCCTGCTCCCCGCTGGCCGGGCTCGCTCTCTGGCCACGTGGCCAGCCTGCGTCACCTCTGGAGACCCAGGTGGAGGCCGCAAGTCTTCTTATGACCCAGCGTTGGGGGTCACGTGACCTTCCCATACGCTCTGCTGGTTGTGAGTAGTGGTGGGAAGGGACCACAGGAAGGTGTGACCACGGGACACGTGGCTCCCTGGGGGCCACCCTCTGAGACCAGCTCGCACTCAGTGACAGGTGGAAGATTGGAGCTAGTACAGGTGACTGGAAAAAGCAGGGCAGGCTTCCTGGGAGAGGTGGCGTCAGAAACAGTCCCCGAAGGGGGGATGGCTGGAAATTGTCAGTCCAAGTTGCTGTACAAAGATGAGCAAATGTAGGAAAGCAAGAAGCAAATAGAAAACTGATGTTGATGGGCCGGAAAGGAGGACACAGGGCGACAGGGACCAGGGAGAGCAGAGCACAGGTGGGTCGGGGGCAGGACGGGGGCAGGGCGGCTGGATTTTGGAGTCCAGACCAGCACGGGCCGGAGACGGGGCTGGAAACAGCCTTGCAGAAGGGGGTCGCCAAGAGGAAAGCGAGGGGGAGCCACTGTCTTCCTTGCCCCCCCCGCCTTCCCCCTGCCCCCTGCCTTCCCCCTGCCCCCCCGCCTTCCTCCCTCCCCCTGCCCCCCTCCCTGCCTTCCCCCTGCCCCCCCCGCCTTCCTCCCTGCCCCCCCGCCTTCCCCCCTCCCCCTGCCTCCCCCCCCCCTGCCTCCCTGTCTCCCTCTCTCCCTGCCTGCTTTTCTCCTANCTAGGAGCTCTAAGAGCCCCCCGCCTTCCTCCCCCCCCCCCCCCCCCCCCCCTGCCCCCTCCCTGCCTCCCCCCTGCCTCCCTGTCTCCCTCTCTCCCTGCCTGCTTTTCTCCTACCCTCCCTGCCTCTCTCCTCCTCTCCCTGCCTTCCTCCCTCCCCCCTGCCCCCCCCGCCCCCACCTTTCTGAGAGGCGGACTCAGAGCCAGGCCCTGCTGGGCACTGGTGCCAGGACGGCCTGCACAGGCTCGAACTCCTGGCAAACCTCGCTCGTCCGGGGAGGGTGGGGGTTTATCCCCTTACATCTCCAGTCCCGCCCGCCAGCCAGCGCCCCCTCCCGCGGCTGGGAAGGGGGGGCCCATGCAGTGCTCCTCACGTGGGCTCCTGGCCCTGCCGCGGTCCGTAGACCCGGCTACTTACAAGTGCACACGCGGGCTCAGCTCGGAAATAGCCAGAGCCCCGGGGTGGCGTCGGAGCCTGTGCGTCCGTGCGGCGCGTCCTCCGCACCCCCCTCCGCCCCCGTCCCTCAGGCCGCTCTCCAGGCTTGGGAGCCCCCTGTGTACGGGGAGCCGGGGTGGCCAGTGCCACAGCCGCCCCCAGCAGGTCCGGGCTCGTCGAGCATCTTGCAGCCAGAGTCCCCGGTGAGGGCGGCACCGTGCTGTGGGAGCAGACTCGGAGAGGCTGACCCGCCGGGGAAGAAGGGGAGCCTTCCTGGAGGAGGGGGCCTTGAAGCACTAGGGGATGGGACTGTGCGGAGATGAAGCCCTGAACGCCATCCGGGGAAGGGGTCCACGGCTGGAGAGCACAGCAGCCGTGTGGCCGGGGAGATGGGGCGCTCGGGGGCAGAGTGTGACGGGTCCCAGGTGCACGGGGGACTGGAGACCTTGGGACACTGGGGAGCCAGGGATGGCTTTGGGCCCAGGCAGCGGTCACCGTGGTAACGGGTAGCGGCAGGGCCCCGTCCAGTACGCGGCGGGTGTGCACGCATCCTTCCCCGCCTTACGACGGCCCTCGTTGCGATTCTCGGCCTCGCAGGGGGACCGCGGCGGGGGGTGCACGGCCCGGGTGGGACTGGAGTCCGGTGCGGGTGTGTGCGAAGGCTCAGGAGGGCGCCGAGGCGGGGGGGGGGTGGGGTCAGGCCCTGTGGCTGCTGGTTGGACCGAGGGGAGCAGGTAGGGAGGCAGGGGCGGCCCCGGAGGCAGAGGTGGCTCGTCCGCGGCTGGGAAGCCTGAGCGACGGCGGAGGCCTTGGGACGGGCGTCAGTTTGGCCGCGGGCGAGCGGTGCCCGTGGGCCATCCAGGGACACGTGCCGCTCACGGGGCTGAGCCCCCCACGGTGTGGCTCTGCGGTCCCTCCCTGCGGTCCCCAGGCCCCTCAGGACAGCTGCGGGTGGGGGCCGGGTGGCTGCAGGGGTGGGGCGCGCCGCTGGACCCGCCGTGCCGTCCGTCTGTCCGCAGGCACTGGCAGGATCTGGGCTACCTGATCGTGTACATCACGGGCCGGCCGGACATGCAGAAGCAGAGGGTGGTGTCCTGGCTGTGCCAGCACAACTTCCCCCAGGGCATGATCTTCTTCTCCGACGGGCTGGTGCACGACCCCCTGCGGCAGAAGGCCCTCTTCCTCCGCAACCTCGTGCAGGAGGTGAGTGCGGGCCCAACCCCAGGGCCCTCGGCCTGCGTCGCGCCCGGGGGGGCCTCACGGCCCCGCGAGGTGGGCGTCGTCATCCTCTGCGGGGACAGGAGGGCGGGGAGCCTGCCTGACGCTCGGCGACTCACCCTGATACTCTCCTCCTTCATCTCCTGACCCCAAAGCCTGGACCCTGTCTCTGCGGCTGGTTGTTCATTCAGTCGACACCGAAATGTCGATTCCCTGCCCCCCACTCACCCCCAGACCCACTGCATCGGAAACTGGGGAGTGGGCCCAGCCGTCTGCATCCTAACACACCCTCCTGGGGGGGATCCAGTGATCTGTGGCCCAGGGGTAGACCCAGCCACAGCCCTTCTTGGAGGTGACCTTGGCCTGAGAATGGTTTTTATGGTTTCAAACGGTTGGGGGGGGAATCGAAAGACCGCTACTTCACGATGTGACAGTGATACGAATCTCCGATTTCTGTGCCTCGAAACACAGAGGCTTTGGAGCACGGCCGCGGCCACGGTCCTCTGCTGGCGCAGAGTGTAAGGTTGCTTTGAGCCGCAGAGGAACAGAGTGGTGACTGTAGCACAAGGCAAAGCCTAAGATATTGATTATCTGGTCTTTTGCAACAAAGTAAGCCAATCCCTGATCTAGAGGAAGAAAAATGTGTGAATCGACACTTTACTGGTTGGTGACTAGCACAGGCCTCTTGGCATGCAGAGGAGGAAGGACCTACGTTTGCCTGGGGAGGGCAGAGAGCGCTTCCAGGGGGTGGTAACGCTTGAGCTGGGTCTTGAAGCATGAATAGGAGTTTGCCAGGCAGACAAACAGGATGTGCAAAGGCACTGAGGTAGAAGAGAGCCTGGGATGTTCTTAGAGCTGTGGCATCCAGGATGCTGGTGCTCACAGGATCAGACCAGCTCAGGTGGGAGCAGAGGCCTGGAGGTCATCTGGGCCTGAGGGTGGCAGGCCTTGAAAACCTTGGAAAACCTTGGCCAAGGCCATGAACTCTGCTGAGGGCAGTGGGGAGCTGGGGGGCGGCGGTGACTAGTTAGGGCTGCAGAAAGAGCCCTGGGGTGGCTCTGCGGAGACCAGATTAGTGAGATGAGAGAGGCAGGGAGGCCAAGCAAGGCAGAGGCCAGCCAGAATCCAGGAGGCGGCCGCGGGCTGGAGAGAAAGGCATCGCGAGGTGGGATTGTCAGGTCATGCAGAGGACTGAGTGGCGGCCCAGGGCGGGAGGTAGAACTTGGGAAGAATGTTCCGGGGGCAGCTGAAAGAAGGTTCAGGACCAGAGCTGCGTGGCCCTTGGGCGGCTCTCAGCGGCCAGCCTGGGGGACCGGAAGGCGGTGCCAGAGCAGCGTCCCCGGCGGGCGGGAGGGGAGGCGCACAGTCGGCCTGCGGAGTCCAGAGGGCGGATCTCGGCTTGGTCCTGGGGGCCGCTGATCGTGAAGATGGCAAGATGGAGGCCAAGGTGGTCGGGGGGTCTTCCCGGGGGCAGGAGGTCACCCCGCGGATGATGGGGCTCAGGAGGAAGGGAAACTGGGACCTGGGACCTGAGGGTGGGGGGGCTCAGGGAGAGCAGCGGACGGGCTAGCGTCTTGTGGGGGCGGGGTGAGTGAGCATTAGGACCCGGCACTGGAGGCGCCCAGGCAGCTGGGTCAACACCGCGGTCTGGGGTGGTGTGGACGGCTTGGGGCGGGGGGTCAGGCCCGGACAGAGCTGCCCCCGCCCTGTGACGCGCAGAGCCGGGCCTCCTTTCCTGTCCACGTCTTTGCCCGTCTTCCGGTGACCGGAATGGCTGCTCGGGCGGGGGCCGCAGGGGGCGTGGTCCTCACCTCCCCAGGCGGAGCCCCCTAAGCGGGGCGCAGGGCGGGGCGGGAGGGCAGCCCCTGGACTTGGAGCCCGCCTGGGCCCCGTGCGCGCCCCGCCCCCCACCAGCTGCCCTGCGTTCCAGTGTTTCATCCGCATCAGCGCGGCCTACGGCTCCGCGAAGGACATCTCCGTGTACAGCGTGCTGGGGCTGCTGCCCTCCCAGATCTTCATCGTCGGCCGGCCCACCAAGAAGTACCAGGCCCAGTGCCAGGTGGGGCGGGGCCCCGGGGGGCGGGAGGGGCGGCGTCTTCTGTTTCCTCATTCGGTCGTTCTTGTTCGTTCCTTCATTTGCTCACTCATTCATTCGCTCGCGGTCTCCCCACGCACGGTGGGCACCTGCCGGGGGGGCCCTGGCGGAGTCAGATGTCGTGTCCCCCAGGCGAGCGGGGTATATGGAAAAATTCCAATGGATGGCGGGCAGCCCGGGGTTGTGACCCCCCCCCCCCGGGGCAGAACAGAAGATGGGGGCAAGGCTGGCTTTGGGGGATCTGAAGAGATTGTCCAGGAAAGGTGTGAGGTTGGAGGGGCCTTTGTGACAGAGTAGCCGCAAAAGTGAAGGTCAGGAGGTGACAGAGCTGGGGCCCCACGGGGGCGGGAGCAGGAGACGGCGGGGGGCCCTCAGTGCCTGGCTGACGGTCGCCCCTCGGCTCGCTGGGATTCTGGGGGTGAGTCGTGATTCTGAGGGTCCTCAGGCTGCAGGGGGAAGGCCCTTCAGAGGAGGGGGCAGGCAGTGGCCGGCAGAGAAGGTGAAGGGCCGAGAGCCACTTCTGAGGCAGGACGGGTGGGCTGGACTTGGCCGTGAGCGGATCAGAGGGGTGGGCTGAGCCGGCAGCAAGGCCCAGGGGTGGCACCTGGTTTCTGGCGAGTGTGACCAGGTCGGGGGTGCCCGTCCAGGGACTGAGAGCAGCCTGGGCGGGCCGAGTGGGGGGCGCGGGAGAGCCACCAGCAAGGGCCGGTCAGACAGCAGCGCCGCGTGGGAGATGCTGACGCCCGCAGGCGGCCCTGGGGACTGTGCACGTGCAGGCCCTCGTCCGCAGGCCTGGGGGGCCCTGCGAGTCTGCTGCTGTAAGGGCCCCGGCCCTGCTGAGGCCGCTGGGCCGCTGCCCCCTTTCTGGGGGGGGGTGGGCAGGAAGGGCAGCCGTGGGGGCCACGACCTGCTGGAGTTCATGGGGTGGAAGCTGGGTGATGGCACAGACTCCTATTTGGGGATCTGAGCGGCAGGTGATAAAGACGGTGTGCCCGGCGGGTCCAGCTGTTCAGGGCCGGTGGGGAGCTCTTAGCGGTAGTGGGCTCCCCGTTTCCCGCGGCTGCGCCCAGGCGATGTGGGGGCGGGGGCGCGGCCAGGCCTTGTCCCCGCCGGCTCGCTGACGCCCCCCCCCCCTCCGCAGTTCCTGAGCGAGGGCTACGCGGCGCACCTGGCGGCGCTGGAGGCGGGCCACCGCTCGCGCCCGAAGAAGAACAACTCGCGGATGGTCCTGCGCAAGGGCAGCTTCGCCCTGCACGCGCAGCCCGAGTTCCTGCGGAAGCGCAGCCACCTGCGCAGGACCATGTCGGTGCAGCAGCCGCAGCCGCCCGCCAACCCCAAGCCCGAGCGGGCCCAGAGCCAGCCCGAGTCCGACAAGGACCAGGAGCGGCCGCTGCCCGCGCTCAGCTGGGCGCGTGGGCCCCCCAAGTTCGAGTCGGTGCCCTGAGGGTCGGGCTGCGCGCATGGGCCGGGGGGGGTGGCGCTCCCCGAGACGGGCCGTTTCCTGCTTTTCCCCTCCCGTATGTGTCCAGCAGTGTCCGAGTGGGGAGGGACCCTGCGGAGCCCGGGGGGGCTCCCTGGGCCGCGAGGGGGTGAGACCCCAGGGTCTCTGCAGCAGCGGCTGCCTCCCCGTGCGGGGCCTGTGACCGCGAGCCCCAGTCCCGGTCGGCGTCCGTGTAGTCCTGCGGGGGGGCAGGCCTGGCCCGAGCTGGCAGGTCGGGCAGAGTCGGCCACCGCCCTGGGGTCCCGGGGCTTTGGTGGTGCCAGGCAGGCCCTGGGGGGGGGGCCTTCTGAAGGCAGGCTCGGCCTCCCGGCGGCCTGGTGGGCGGGTGAGTGGGGCATCGTGCCGGCCCCCCGAGACGTCCTGGGTCACCATCAGGGGCCCGGCTTTCCTGTGGCCAAGTGGCCACTTTCTGCGAGGGAGGGGACGTCCCCTGGGCTCCTCTGTCCGCATGTCTGTCCATGGCCTTGCGGGGTGGGGGTGGCGGGGCCTGGTGCTGACGGTCTGTCCTGCGGCTGCCCACTGTCCCCCTCCTGTCCTCCGTGTTCCTTCCCGCCTGGTGCCCTGCCCTGTGGGGCTGCGCCCCTGCGCGGTGGCCCGGCCGGGCCGGCTGAGAGCCCTTGAGCCCATCGCTCGCCCTCCCTGGGCCCTGGCTTCCCTATGGGGTCGGAAGGGTCCCCGCGGCTGAGATTGGTGCGCGGCTTTTGACGCCTGGGCTGTCTTCTTTCTCGCACTTCTGTGTCCTGGGACGTTCCGGGCCTCAGCGCGTCAGAGCACCCCGTCTCCGGGGGGCTCTCACCCTCACCCCGCCCCTCAGGCAGGGAGGGGGATGGGGAGGGATCCCTGCTCCGTGAGGCGGTTTGCTTTGCACTGACGCCCAAACCACGTGTCCCAGGAACAGGGACCCCACCCCCCACGGGGCCTGGTCCGGCTCGCCCTTCGCAGCACTGCTCACACGGATTCTGTTTTGGCTCCCGGAAGGCGTAGAGCCGAGACCCCAGCGCTCTGGGGGAGTGTGTGATTTTGGCTCAAACTGTTGTACTCTCTTCCCTCCCCCCTGCACGCAGCTTGCTTGGGGGCCACCGCCGCCTCCCGGGTCGTCCCCTGAGGTCGGCAGGGCTCAGCTCTTGCCCCAGCCCTCCTGCCGCCAGCCCAGGCCCAGGCCTGCTTCGGGGCCCCCGAGGCCGGCCCAGCCCCCCGGCAGGGCCGCCCCGCGTCCAGTCCCGGCGTCCAGGCACCTGCGTGGGTCCCGTGTCGCTTCCGCTCCGTGTCTACCTCTTGCGGCTCCCACGCGGCCAGCGCCCTCCCCGCAGCGGCTGCTGCGAACTGCCCGGCACGCCCGCCGGGGCTGGAGGTGCCCGGGCTCGCAGCCCCCACCCCGCTGGCTCAGGTGTGACCCCGCGTCTGCACTGTGGGCATGGGCGGGACCTCTGGGGGCGTCTCCTCCGGCCCTGCCTCCTGGGCTCGCAGGCGCCCTCCCCCCTCCCGCACTTCATCCTTCTGGGCCCCGGAAGGCACCACCGGCTTGAGCGCAGCTACTTCTCCCCGAGGCCGCCGTCTTTCCCGAAACTTGCCCTGCGTTAACGTGGGCCAGACGTGCTCTGATCCTCCGCCGTCCCCTTCCTTCCAGAAGCTCCTGCCGTTGGCCTCCGCCCATAAGGTGGTGGAGTTCCCTCTTCCCGAGTTAGATCCCCTGCCCCGGGAACCCCGGGCCGGGGGTGCGAGAGACAGAGAGCACCGGGTCCTGGCTGGGGGGGGTTGGAGTCCCAGGGAGCCGGGGGCCGTGGCTGGGGGCCCAGGGTTCTGGGGGTGCTGTGGGCTGTGGTTCCGAGGTGCCCTGGTTCTGGGGGCGCTGTGGTTAAGGGGGTCCGGAGCTGAGATGTGGGGCCTGGCAGGCGGCCACCCCCTTCCCTTTGTGGAGCCGGGACGGCTCACACCCGCGATCGGGAAGGCGGGAGGTGCTGTCACACGCGGGCTGCTCGCGGTGAGTCGGCGTGTGCACGCGAGCGCCGCTGCCGCCTCGGCCGCGACCCGGTAGCCAACACGCGCTCCCGCACGAGTGGCTTCTGTGGACGTGTCCGTGCACTGAAGTCGGAGAGAGAGGAGCAAGCCGTGTTGTCCCCTGGAGGCGTGGCCGCCGCCCCTCCCCGGGGCGTCCGTGACCCTGGCCTGGCTGCTTTCCTCAGCGCCCTTCCGGTCCCCGGGGTGCCTGCCGCCGGGAGCAGGGCCCCCTCCTTCCCGCCTGATCAGAGCTCCTCGTTTCCCGCGTGGCACGTTCGTTCTTCCCCGTCCGGCGGCTGTGCCCGTCGCAGGCCTGCCTGCCGCCCCCCGCCCCGGCCCCGCCCGTAGGGTCTGGGGGCGCCCGGGGTTTTCCTGCATATCCCGCCCCCGCGCTCAGGCTCCACGAAACACGTTTTAAAAAGTAGGCTCTGTTCGCCCACTTGGATGGACGGCCCTCCTGTCTGGGTGCTGGGCCATGGAAAACCGTGTCTGAACCCTGTATTCCAAAGAGGTTGTGGGGGCGCGGACCCCCTGAAAGAAGGGAGGCTGGATCCCCTGGCCTTTCGAACTGTGTCTTCCCCGCTTTGGAGCTCTTATCTGCGCCCTGGAAATAAAGATCCTACAGGCAAAAGGTGGCGCCAATCTTTAAATGAAAGCCAGAGTCACGGCGGGGCTGCGGCTGGGGCGTGGGGGTGCAGCCCCGCCCAGGAGGGGGCGCCCTAGCTAGGAAGGAGCCTCAAGGCAGGACCCGCCTTAAATAACCAACTTCGCGGATCCCTGGGGTTCTGGGCACCAAGTGCCGGAAGCCTGTTCTCTCTGGCTCAGAGCCAAAGCACCCCCCGGCCCCTTCCCGTCCCTCTGGGCTCGGGGAGCCTCGTAAACACCCCAGCTGGGACCAGGAGAGGCAGGCGGCACGGAGGAGGGGCAGGACGGCCGCTCGGGGGCCCCCACCCTCGACCCCCGGCCCGTTCACTCCGCGCGGCAGCCCGTCCGGTCCTGTCCGTGGTCTGACCGTTCCTACGTGTGTGATTCTGTCTTACCTGTGGTGGTCGGTTCTGTGGTGGGTTCGGTTTCTCTTCTTCCTCGTGGCCGCCTTGTACAAAATCCGTTAGAAAAGCAAGTGTAAAATAATCAGATTTCTAACAAGACAAACAGCGTTGCGGAGTTAAAAGATTTTTACTACTGGTCTTGATTTTGACGTGAGCTGGTTTTTAACTCTTGAATGTTGTCACTGAAATAAAAACCTGATTTGCCTTTAAAGTGTGCTTTGTTCCGAACTGAGCTCAGGAGGCTTCGCCGTGCGTGGTGGCTGGTCCCTGAGCTGGGGGCCGGCTGGCCGCTGGGGGGGGGTGGGGGGTCCCCGCCCGGAGCAGACCTGCTGCCTGGGGCGGGGGTGTGTGTGTGCACGGCTGTGTTCATGCGCGTACGTGTGCACACGCGTGCCCTGTGTGCACGTGTGGGTGTGTGCACACGTGCTTGTGCGTGCGCGTGGGCGACACAACAGATGTCAGACACAGAAGCAGAGTCTTTATTACAAACAAGCAGCGGTATCTGGGGAAGTCACACGCGGGTTTCTTTCTAATAAAGCGCCGCAGCAGATGCCTGAAGTAACTTGCCGAGCGCAGAGGCCGCTACCGAACAGCGCCGCCCGCCCCTGCACAGCCCGTGCCCCGTGCTCAGCGTAAAGTTGTCCGTGGGCCCGGGGTCTCAGGGCCGGAGTCGCCTCCCCCGCCCCTTCCTGCAGGGCTGTGGCGGGGGCAGGCGGGAGGGCAGCCCCGGGCATGGGGCTCCCTGCTCGGGGTCACAGCTCAGAGCTCGAGTACCTTCTGGTGCCTCTGCCTTCACGTTGCCATCGAGGCGGCCACGTCAGGGCGAGTCTCTGAGCCCCAAAGGGGGGTGGAGGGGACAGCCGCCCCCACCCCGTCCCCCTGGTCACGCGCGGGCCGGGCGGCCGCGGGCAGAGCCAGGTGCGGCCGGCGCGGGCGGAGGCCCTCGGTGTGTGCGCTCGCGGCGCGCAGACGTGGCTTGCCTCCTGCGGCGCCGAGCCCCTGGGGCCCCTCGCTGGGCTCGGAGCAGGGGGGGCCTCCCCGGAACGAGGGGACGAGGGCCCGGAGGGTGGCTCCGGCTCGCGGGGGGCTCGGCTGGGGGCGGGGTCAGTGGGGCCAGCGGCACCCGGCAGGTGGGCTGCACGCGCGTGCGCTTCCCAGCTGCTGGGCCCATCAGCTCATCAGGGTTTTCTAGAAAGGACTACGTTGTTCTTGCACGTGTTCGAGGGTGAGGAGGAGGAGGAAGGGGAAGAACCCGGAGAAAACCCTCGGGAGGCGGGCGTCTCCGAAGGCGCTGTCCTCAGTCACCGAGGAGAGAAACGGTCACGTCGCCCCTGGGGACGGGAGGGACGGGTGTCGCTGGGGAGAGCTGGCTGTGCCCCGCCCTGGAGCCCTTCGTGGCCCTCGTGGGAGTGGGGGACAGGCCCCGGGTGAGGGGGGCTGCAGAGCGGCCATGGGGGCTTGGCCGAGCCGTGGGGAGCGCTGCAGGAAGGGCAGGTCTTTCGGAGACCAGGTACCGTGTCGCACACGGGCAGCCCGAGGCTCAGAGAGGGCGGGGCCGGGCCGGGGTCACACAGCCGGGCAGCACCGGGTCGGAGAGGCCTAAGCGCGCGGCAGGGCTCGAGGGGCGCCGCACGCAGCTCTCCCGCGCGCAGGCGTGGCCGCCAGCTCACCTCCCCTCAGCCGCGACGGCCGCGTCCGGCTCGCGGGACAGCCGCCGGGGGTGCTGGAGTCCCGCTCCCGCGGGCTCCGCGTCGCTCTCAGACTCACTGAAAGGAGGGGAAGCCGCAGCAGCGACTGGCGGAAGCCGGCAGCACAGGCCCTCCGGCCGGGGGCACCTTGTGCGGGGCCCTGCCTGCCCTCTGGGAGGTGACAGCCTGTGCGACCCGGAGCACCTGGCAGGGAGCACGGGGCTCCGGGCCCGTCAGGTCGGGGGCAGTGACCTTGCAGACGGAGGCGCCCTGCGGTGGCCCCCACGGGGCCTGAGCCCGGCGGCCTCTGCAGGGCTTCGAAGCCTGCTTCGGGCTCACGGAGAAGCCGGGCGGGTGTGACGCTGTCAGAGCGGGCTCGCCTCCTTCTTAGGGAAACCAAGTCCCCGAAGGGCTTCCCAGGTCCCCGCTGCGGGGGGCGGGGGGGGGGGGCTGGGTCGGGTCACAGATGCCCCCAGGCAGCCACAGGGGGAGTCAGGACCCGCTGGGAGCAAGCGCCCTCCTCTTACCTGGGGGAGCACAGGGGCTCCGTCGAGGACGGGGGGCTCCGGAAGGCAGGCCCCCTCCGGGGCCGCCGTGGGTGGGCAGCGAGCCGGTGGCAGTGTCCCTCCCGCGGGGCCGGGGCGGCCGCACAGAGCCGGGGGCTCTTCGGGCCCGGGGTGCGAGCCGGGGGGCCGCGGCCCTTCTGTGCCCCTCTCCTCCTCCTGGCCTTCGCCTGGCTTCCCGCCAGCCACTTGGTGCCGCTCTGGCACGACTCCTGGATTCTCTGGGACCGACACGCGGGAAGGTGAGCACACGGCAGGCGCGAGTCCCCAGGGTCCCGGGCCGCTCCTCCCGCCCCTCAGCCCCCCTCCCCCCCCCCGCCACCGCCGCGCAGATGCAGGCGGCTCTGGGCCCCAGGGGTGGGGGGGTGCGTGGGTCCCTGAAAAGCGGGTCCGCTGCAGGGGGCCGGTCTGAGCCCCCGGGGCACCGGTCAGCAGCCCAGCCGCCGGCTTGTGGGGTCCACACTCGTTTCGGTCCAAACCCTCTTTCAGGACACGGAAGGGCCTGGCGCCGCTCGAAGGCCCCCCGGGACCTGCCTCTGGTCTCACTGTCGCCCTCCGCGCGGTGAGGAGTCTTCCCAAGGGACCTCTCCTGACAGTGACACGCAACGACTCAGAGCCCCTGGGGGGTCCTCAGCCTCGGGGCGCAGCCCTCACTCCCGGGCCTCCCCACGGGCTGGATGGGGGCTGGGCCGGCCCCTCGGGGCCAGCACGTCTGCCCCGGCGAACCCGAGTCCAGAGGGCGGGACAAGTCCCGTCTGGTGAGCTGTGCGGCCGCTGGCACGCCGCCTCGCCACGTTTCTGTGGGGACAAAGGCGACCACTCCCGGAGCCGGGGCCGACGCGTGGCTCCGAGACCCCTGAGCAGAGGGTCCCGGTCCCACACCGAGGGGCGCCCACCCCGTTCTCTCCCCGGAGGCCGTCGGCCGCCACGGCTGCGGTCCCTTCTGGGGGACACCGGCCCCCATTTTCGGGTTTGGAGGCGCGTTCACCTGCAGGGCCCCAGGCACCCCCATGCCGGCACGTGTGGCATCTCTGTGTCCACGCGTCGCATCTGACGCAAGTCCTCGCACACCCCCCTTCCGAGCACCTCCTAGGTTCACGCCTCGGCCAGGCCAGGCCCGCGCCCCTCGCCCCCCCCCCCAGGGAGCTGGGGACGAGCACTAACACGCTCCCTGGTCGCTCCCCTGTTGAAACCCCTCCCCACCGGCCCCCAGTCACCCTCGGGAGAGTCTGACCAAACACCCTCAGCGCTCGGGACGCCCGCCCTCCGCACCCCTCCCAGCCCTCTGACCCCAGCCACCTGGACGGGCGCCCCGGCCCCGTGTGTCGGGCTCGCCCTGGACTCTCCGCCCTCCTGGGCGATTCCGCAGCGCCCCTCCCCTGCCTGCCTCGTCCCGGGCGCCCCTCCCCTGCCTGCCTCGTCCCGGGCACCCCTCCCCTGCCGTGCTGTGACAGCACCGCTCCGTCATCTTGCACTTGCAGCCTCCGTGGCCCTTTCCATTCATTCATTCATTCACCGGCTTGCTGAGTGCAGGAACTCGGCTCAGCGTCCCCAGGGGCCCCTTGCAGGCACAGCCGCCGGGCACCAAGCAAGCCCTGAGCCGAGGGACCGCTGGCATCGCCAGCCTTACCTGGGACACGGAGCCCAAGGCGTTCTTGGCTGAGCGAGCGGCGGCCTGGAGCCCCTGCGCTGGCTCTGGGTTCTCCAGGCGTTTCCAGGAGGGCCCCGCCCCGAGGTTGAGGCTGACGGCCCTCAGGGGCAGCCTCCTTTGGAGCTGTCTGCACAGGGAGCCCAGGGCGCCGCCGGGGGGCTCGGTGTGGCCGCCCGCCCGCGGCTCTGCCTCCTCCTCCTCCAGCTGCTCCCAGTCCTGGAGCGGCCTGCGGCGCGCGGTCACCCCCACGCCCGGCCACTTGGAAGCCATGTGCCTGGTCGAGAGTCCGATCCGCCCACCAGATCCTGGGGAGGGGGTCAGAAGGCAGGTCAGCAGGGCCTCCCCCTCCCACCCCGAGGCTCCACGGGGACACAGGTCCCCCAGGCTGCATGTGGGGGCACGTGGCAGCTGCGGGTGTGGGAAGGAAGCTGCTCCCTGGAAGGGGGGTCAGCGAGGCCCGGGGGAGGGCAGAGGGTGGACAGGCCGGGCAGCGTTTCCTGCGGTCCCTGGCGGCCGCCGTCTAGGCAGCTCCGGCCGTCTTTCCGCTCTCTGCCTGAGGCCGCGAGGGAGGCCGGCTCAGGACTGGCCCGGGCGCCCCCCGCCGCCCAGACCGCCCCCCGCCCGCCCGATTGGCACCTCGCGACCCCCAGACGCCCCCACCTGCGTGCCGGTCCTGACTGGACCCCCCCCCTCCGCCCAGGTCCTGACTGGACCCCCCCCTCCGCCCAGGTCCTGACTGGACCCCCCCCCTCCGCCCAGGTTCCGCCCAGGACCCCCCCTCCGCCCAGGTCCCGCCGGAACAGGGCCGCGCTCACCCCGCAGCCCCCGGCGCAGGCCGCACACGCCCCGAGCAGCGGCTCCGCGCCCACCCGGCGGGTTTGAAACTCCGCGCGGATCCGCCCCCTGGCCGGTCCTCGCAGCTGATTGGCCACGTCCCCGCAGCGCGGCCGGGCCCGGGATCCGATTGGCCCCCGCTCTAGCGGCGGGAACGCTGCCCTCCGATTGGCTGGCCGCCCCATCCGTGCCTCCGCCCCCCCCGCGGGCGGGCGCAGCGGGCTCCGCCCCTTTGTCTCCGCGTCCGGGCGCCCCGCCGCGCGGCCAGGCTGGGTCTGTGCGCAGGCGGCCGGGCCCGCGTCTCGGCCCGCACCCCGCGGGGGAGGGTCTCAGGCCCTCCCTCTGTGTTCCTCGCTCTCGGCACCCACACTCTGGCCCCTGGAAGATTCTGGGGGACAGACCAGGGTTCACCTCTGCGTCCCCTCCAACGAGCCCGCCTGCAGAATCCGGTGCCCCAGCCCCAGAGCTTGGGGAGCCCTCTCCCACTGCCTGGAGACCCCAAGGCAGCCCGGGCCCGCCTTCCTCCCGGCTGCCTTGCTGCCGACCTCACCGACCCCCCTCTCTGCGGGGTCGCCGCTGGTGGGCTCCTTGGGGCTCTGCCCTTCACTGCGCCGCGGGGTGACCCCACCCGCCCCCTCTGCTGGGGGAGCTGCAGGCACCGGGTCCTGGTGTGCTGAGTCCTTGTGATGAGCTCGCTTGGCCGATGGCAGCCTCGCAGATGTGGAAGCCGCTGTCGGAGAAGTTAAGCTGCTCCCCAGTTCCCTCGGTCGAGGGTCCATGCAGCCAGCACCCCCTCGGATCCAGAGCGTGGGGCGTGACCCACATCACCAGTCATCCCAGAAAATCATGACCCCAGCGTTGTGCCCTGAAAAATGAGCGTGTTGGGGGGGGTCTCCTTGCTCAGACGCCCGCCCAGCTCACACACACACGTGCAACTGAAGGAGAAGTTTCCTGAATCAGTGCTGGACTCTGAGTGACGGGCTCTGACTTGCTGTTTCGTGGGGTAAGGACGCCACTGCCGCTGGCGCCGCCAGTGTGGCCACCGAGGGGCGAGCTGCCGTTTGAAGGGTTCTCTGCCTCGCCGGTTCCCGGGCTGGACTGCCGCCTGCTCCGCACAGTCGTGTGTGTTGCTCGTATCCGGGGGATTTAATTCACGCCCCTTCCCGATGAAATACGGGAAACGGGCGTGGTGATTCTTAGGAAAACCAAGCTCCAAGTGTGGGGGAAACGCGGTACGTCTCGGGCTGGACCGGCTCGTCCCAGCCGGTGACGGTGCCCTGTGTGCCCGTCCGCGGCGTCAGGGGACAGCTCACGCTTGTCCGGCACTCAGCAGGCGCTGGGCGGTGTCCTGTCCTCATCCTCCTTCCTCGGCTGGGTCGGTGCTCTTCTTTCCTGTTACAGATGACGACGCACACCCCCAGGGGTCAAGTGTCTGCTTTAAAACCCGAATGCTTAACCTCAGGTCACGCGACCCCCTGGAGCATCCGGAGCGCAGGGGTGACCGCCTGACGAGACCCTCCCCCGCCCTCCCTTTGGGGCTCCAAGGGCCCCTGGCAGCCCAGGTGATGGAGCGCGGTCTCCATGGCAACGGGGGAAGGAAGAAGAAACATTTTCTTCTGAATGAGAAGGCTCTCCCGTGCCTCGCAGGGGGGCGGGGGGGTGAGGGGAGAGGGGTGGCAGGCAGAGGGTGGGCCGAGGAGCAGGCTCCTGGGGGAGTGGGGGTGGGGCCGGGGGCTCCTGCCCCTCCCTGTAAGGAGAAGACGCGGTCAGTTGTCCCGGGCAGAGGCTTCTGGGGTGCGGCCCCCGCGCCCCTGTGGGTGAGGAGGGCTGGTGCTGACGGGCGCTCCAGCCTGCCCCGCCCTGGGGGCGCCCCGTCGAGCAGCCGAGATTCTGCCCGGTTCCTTGGCCTGTGGAACGGCCGGTGCCCTGGAAGGAGCGGACACCGACCTGGGAAGCCAGGGCCTGAGCCCCTCCCGGCTTGAGTGATCCTTCTGGCATCAGCTTCAGCAACCTCCCCCACCTCACCCCTGCGGATCGGTCCTCCCCCCTCCCTCCCTGGACTTGTATGGCGACCCCTGTGGCTTTTCCTCGTGTTTCTAGCTCCCGAGTGGACATGCAGGCGCCTCTGGGCTGCGGCGCGGCTGCAGCAGGACAGGACAGAGGGGACGGACCCCTCACTCCCCCCCCCCAGAGACGGATGGATCTGGGCCCTTGGAGGTCTGAGCACCCAGGGAGGGGGCCTGGAGAGGTCTGCTCCAGCCGCCCCAGTCTGGGTTTGGGGGCTCAGGCTAAGCCCCCCCGTGTCAATGGCTCCTCGTGGGAGAGTCCCAGGGTGCTGGGTTTGGGGTCCCACCTGCTGCTCCAGGGAGACCTCTCAGCTTCCTGGGGAGGGAGGCGGGAGAGATCGGTTTTCCCGTTTCAGTCTGGAAAATGGGGTTCGGGAGGATGGCAGGCACCCAGGGGCACGGGGTCAGGCCATAGGAGGTGCGGGCGGCCCTCTGAACACAGTTCTGGCAGGCTCCTCGGAAGCCAGTGCCCTCATCTGTCGCTGCTGTGTCCCCACGGCCCGGCCCTTTCCTCCGCCACAAGGGGGCGCCAAACACCAGTCCTTCGGGCCACTTGCCCCTTTAGACCAGAAAGGGGACCCCGGATGCAGGGACTGAGCTCCCCGGGTCCCAGAGGGCAGGGACTCTAAAGAGGAGAGGAGAGTCCCGCTCCCGGCAGCCGGGCCTTGCAGGGGAGGCTGGAGCGGGACTGAGAGAGGCTCTTCACTCTGCCCAAACCTGCCCCCTTCTCTTACCGGGTTTAGAGCCCCCCAGGCCAGAAACGTATTCTCCCCCGTCCCCTCGCCCTCCGACAGTGTCTCCTGGGCGCAGAGTAGGGGGGAGGGGAGGGGGAACCCCGTGGGTGGCCTGAGGCCTCTCTCCTGATCCCTCCCGCCCCCACCTGGCTTTCTTCCTTCTTAGTGCTGGGGGAGCAGGAGTGTGGGGCAAGCTGAGGGCAGAGGACAAGCAGCTCTTCCTGCCCCGGGGCCCCGTCCCCGGGCTTTAACAGTCACCCCTTTTGCACCAAAGATGTCTTCAAAACTCTTTCTCGGCCATTGGCTCAGAGCCCCCCCACCGTCTCTCCCCAAACCCCATTCTTGGGGGGGGGAGCTTCACTGTGAGGAGCAGGGACGAGGCCTCACCGACTGGCTCCTCACGCACACCCCTGCGGGCCAATCCCCGTGTCTCCACCGCCCGCCCGAGCGCCTGAGCGCCTTCCTGCAGGGAGATAATCTTCGCCTGAGCCCACACGTCCCTCCCAGAGCCATGGACGCCGCTCTGCTCCTGAACGTGGAAGGGGTCAAGAAAACCATCCTGCACGGAGGCTCGGGGGACCTCCCCAACTTCATCACAGGGTCCCGGGTGAGTGGGCCCCGCCCCCCACACCACACAGGGGCCCCCACGGCAGCCTTCGCGCCGAAACCGCGTTCGGCTTTGCCGAGACCAGCCGGGCAGGCTCTTCCCGGAGTGCCAGCCTCTGAGCTTCTGGGGGCCTCTGGATGGGTGCCCGCTCACGGGACATGTCTCATGCCGGCAAATTTAACTCTGGCGTGGGGGAAGGGCTTTTGGAAGTTTCTGGAGCCCCAAATGTTGAGTTAAAAGGAGGGCTCCTCAGGGGTCATGGTTTTGTCTACAAATGTCGGGCGACCTTCCCGGCGGCTGGGGGGGGGGTGTCCACGGGTGGCTGGGTCTGTGGCCACAGCCCTAGGGCTGGTGTGAGGAAGCAGCACCTCCTGACCCGCAGGCTGCCAGAGGGCGGCTCGGGGTCCTCCCAGGGGGAGCCCAGGCGGGGGGCGGTGGCTCTGGGGTCCCCGCATCTGGCTGGGGCTGGGTGAGCTGAGCCCTGAGGGCGCCCCTGAGGGTGCCTGGGGGGGGGCTTCCGCAGGGGCGCTGGGAGGTGCGTCTAGACCAGGGCCCTGTCTTGCGGTGAACAGGTGATCTTCCACTTCCGCACCATGAAATGCGACGAGGAGCGGACGGTGATCGACGACAGCAAGCGCGCGGGCCACCCCATGCACATCATCATCGGGAACATGTTCAAGCTGGAGGTCTGGGAGGTGCTGCTGACGTCCATGCGGCTCGGCGAGGTGGCCGAGTTCTGGTGTGACTCCATCGTAAGTAGCCCCCCGCCTGCCTGCCAGGCTCCGGGCCGAGGCAGCCCTGTGTCGCCTTGCTCTGCACACATGCGGGAGGGCCACCCCAGAGTGACCGTCGTGTGGCGGCTGCTGGTGGGACGTGGGACCCCCCCCCGCCCCTGCCCCGCACACGACTGCTGGATCCTGGGGACTTTGGACCACTGCTCATGTTTCTGCTCCTCCCCACTCCTGTGAGCCTTGTGAAATTATTTCCATTTGGTAAAAAATAAGTTTTAAATGTTTATTTATTCTTGAGAGAGAGAGAGCACAAGCGGGGGAGGGGCAGAGAGAGAGGGAGACGCAGAATTGGAAGCAGATCCAGGCTCCGAGCTGTCAGCACAGAGCCCGGCGCGGGGCTCGAACCCACGAACTGTGAGATCGTGACCTGAGCCGAAGTTGGACGCTTAACCGACTGAGCCCCCCAGGCGCCCCGAGCTCCCCTATTTAGGAGGAAGCACACGGGGCAGAGGAGGAGAGTGACTTGGTCTGGGCCAGACAAGTAAAGGGCAGGGAGGAGGTGGGATCCCGCACCCCGCGGCCGCCAGAGCCAGGCTGCGATGCCGGCGTCTGCCGCTAGGGGCGCCCGCCCGGCACGTCGTCCTCTCTTCATTCACCTGCCGAATTCTGGGGGCGCGTCCGTTCCCCGCTCCGCGCCCTGGGGCCCTTCACCCAAACGCTTGGGACGATTGTACAGACGTGCTTCCAACGAGCCAAGTCTTCAGAAAAGCAGGCTCCGAATATCTGCTGGCTTCGCTTACGGCGGGGCCTCCCTCCAGCCCTGAGACGCGGGCCGCCAGGAGCGCACACACGCGTGCACACACTCGTGCACACACGCACATGTGTATCTGACATTTCCCCTTTTCGCCATCCCGTCCTCCATCCCCCAAGCCCCCACCCCTGCAGCCAACATTATTCATCATCCATCCGGTCCTGCATCACCAGGCATCCACCGCCGTGTGTCTGTCTGCTTATCAATCTGGAGCCGTTCACTGGGCACCAGGCTCGGGCTGTGCCCGGTGTTAGGGATGAAACAGTTCTGTCCCTCGAGGGACCTTAGTCTGGAGGAGGAGCGGACACTGGAGCCAGCGCCTGGTGCTTTGGGGCCGCAGAAGACGGGCAGCTGGCTGCTTTAGGGTCTTGGGGGAAACTTCTTCAAGGCAACATTGAATTGGGCGTTGAAGGATGAAGAGGAGTTCGCCAGGTCTACACGTGAGGACGGAGGTGGCGCCCGGGCCAGGAAGCGTGAAAGGCCTGGCATGGTTACTTCACGTAGCCCCTTCTCTGGGGGCCATGTCTCCACTTAAGAGTCTGAGTTTTAGGGGGCACCTGGTGGGGGGCTCAGTCAGTTACGCATTGACTTCGGCTCAGGTCACGGTCTCACAGTTCGTGGGTTCGAGCCCTGTGTCGGGCTCTGTGCTGACAGCTCAGAGCCTGGAGCTGCTCCGGATTCTGTGTCTCCGTCTCTCTCTGCCCCTCCCCTGCTCACACTCTGTCTCTCTCTTACTCTCTCTCAAAACTAAATAACCCTTAAAAAGAAGCAGTCTGAGTTTTGGAACAACAGCGACCAGTGGGATCTCACGTGTGTTTGACAAAGGACTGAGGAGGGCCCAGCTGTGCCCCCCACTCCCTGCAGAGCCCTCTTCCCGAGTCGTCCTCAGGCCTCACTTTGAAGATGGGGGGCTTCCTCCCTCCCCCCCCTCCCGGGAGGCAGGGTCACTGAGGGGCCGGAGCCCCTGCCCTGGGTGGCCCTCCTCCCCGCCCCACCCCCACGCAGGCAGGACGCTGGGGGGTCTTGTGCCGGCGCCCGGTAGAGAGGCCGCGGGTTGCCGACTCCGATTCCACGAGGGGCCGGGAGTTCTGGCCGATCCAACGGGGCGGCGGGTCCTCAGCCCCCTGGATGGTGGCCGCGTGGCTGCACATCCTGAGTCTCTAACGTGAGCCAGAGATCTTCCTTAGCGCCCGGACTCCCTCGGTATTCGACTGTTGGGGACGAATTGGTAAAAGCTCCACGAGGTGGCGGGGAAGACAAACCCATCTGGCCGCTGGACCTGCCTCGGGCGCCCCGTCGGCAGGATGGACACGGCCCGTCAGACAGAAGCAGCCCGGGCCTCGAAGCCCCCGAGACGGGCACGGGGGCGCCGCCCGGGTGTGCACAGGACTCAGGGCCCTCCTCCTCCCTGCGCTTCCACTGGGCCTGGCGGCGCCCCCGAGCCCCCTGCTGCCCCGAGGAGGGTGCCGGTGCCTCGCGGGACAAGGTCATTACCGGAGGTCCTGCCCAGCCAGCTGCCTGGCCCCGGGGCCCGTGGACGCGCTGGACGCAGGGGCCGCCCGCCGGGCACACTGCCCCCCCCCCCCAGCCAGCTGCTCCGGGGGCCGCTCCCGGCTTTAGTCCAGCCTCGGTCCCTGTGGGATTAACTGCCATCTGGTCGCCTCTCTCCCGAAGGAGCCCCGGGTGTTCTGGGCTAATCCGGGCTAATCCAGCTGGCGGGGGCGGGAGGGCCGACCTTCACCCCCATGCCGGTGCCTTGGAGGACACGCTGAGCTCTGTCTGTCCCGAGTCCCCGACACCGCGTCTTTCCTGGAGCCGCCTGCACCCCCAGAAGGGCAGCCCAGTGCCCACTGCAGGGAGAGGCTGGGCGAGCCGGCTCTGTACCCACCACCTCTGACCACGACAGCCGCCCCGTCCCTGGAGCCTGCTCCTTCCCCTGCTCCCCACACCTCCCTGCCTGCGGGTCACAGACTCCTGGGCTCCTGGGGAGAGACATGCGTGGAGCTGAACACAAGGCCGAGGGAGGCAGCATGGCACTGCGGGGAGAGTGTGTCCCCTGGGGCCAGGTCTGAATCCCGCCTCTGCCACTTCCCGGCTGTGTGACCTTAAGCAAGTTACTTCGCCTCTCTGGGCTCCAGGCTCCTCGTCTCCAGAGTGTGGGTAACAGCATTGCCTCCGCACTGGGTCCTCTGAGCGCCGAAGGCGCTAAGGGAGCAGTTGCCTGGAACACAATGAGCCCCACTTATTAGCGGGGGGCAAGTCGGGGACAATAAGTAGCAACAGCCACGCGCAGGCATGGTGGCTGCCGCAGGGCCCAGAGCCGGGGCAGACAGGCGGGCGCCACGGCGGTCTCTCCCCACAGCACACAGGCGTCTACCCCGTCCTGTCCCGGAGCCTGCGGCAGGTGGCGGAGGGCAAGGACCCCACGGAGTGGCACGCGCACACGTGCGGGCTGGCCAACATGTTCGCCTACCACACGCTGGGCTACGACGACCTAGACGAGCTGCAGAAGGAGCCGCAGCCTCTGATCTTCGTGATAGAGCTGCTGCAGGTGCGCCCGGGGCGGGGCAGGTGTGCGGGGGGCGGGGCAGGTGCGCCGGGGGCGGGGCAGGTGCGCCGGGGCGGGGCAGGTGCGCCCGGGGCGGGGCAGGTGTGCGGGGGGCGGGGCAGGTGCGCCCGGGGCGGGGCAGGTGCGCGGGGGGCGGGGCAGGTGCGCCCGGGGCGGGGCAGGTGCGCCGGGGGCGGGGCAGGTGCGCCGGGGCGGGGCAGGTGCGCCCGGGGCGGGGCAGGTGTGCGGGGGGCGGGGCAGGTGCGCCCGGGGCGGGGCAGGTGCGCGGGGGGCGGGGCAGGTGCGCCCGAGGCGGGGCAGGTGCGCCGGGGCGGGGCAGGTGCGCGGGGGGCGGGGCAGGTGCGCCGGGGGCGGGGCAGGTGCGCCGGGGCGGGGCAGGTGCGCGGGGGGCGGGGCAGGTGCGCCGGGGGCGGGGCAGGTGCGCCCGGGGCGGGGCAGGTGTGCCCGGGGCGGGGGAGGGGCGGGGCCGGCCCAGCCTCAGGGAGCACTCTGCGCCCCCACCCCCGGGAATGGGCCAGCAGGGACCCGGAACTCGGTGGTCACTGGGGGTCACCTGCTTTCTCTATGGAGCCCAAGAGGGTTCATAAACCACAGCAAACGTGGAATCTGACCCCCAAAAGTCCGAAGGCCCACTGGGGACCAGCCAGGGGTCACTAGGTTCACTTCGGAGGCATTTGACTTCTGTCGGTTCTGTCCTGAGCTTCTGTCCTTGTTTCCAGTAGTTTCCAAATGAGTCCCCGCGGTCCTGTGTTCAGACCTGGTCCTCCGGCAGCCGGGGAGGCTGAACAGGACCACCCACGCCCTCTCACCCAGGCCCCAGGGGGACTGACAGCTCGTGTTCGGGGGTGGTGGGAGACGGTCAAGCTCCGGTCGGGACTCAGCTTGTGGCCAAGGATGAGATTCAGCCTGAGGGCTCCGTGGATGAACAGATAAATAAGAATTATGTCAACAGTGGGGCTGCTAGGACAGTTGAGCGGTTTGTACACTGCACAAGGTCATCACCTCTAAGGTGTCACTATGTACATTGTATATCTGAGCTCCTAGAATGACACTTATCCAGCAGATGGGAATAAAGTGTCTCGTTTTAGCCAAACGAGTATCATGACAATCTTCTGAAGCTGGAAGGCAGGTGTGTTGACAAAGGGCGTCTTTTCCTCATTTGCACAGAGGATCTGACTCAGGGCCCTGCTTACTTGCACGTGGCTAGCACGCACCGTCCTGCAGGCTGCCCCCCCCCCAAGGAAGCAGGCGCCGGGGTCCCCGCCTCACCCGCTGCCACCCTTGGGCCAGGTGGAGGCGCCGAGCGAGTACCAGAGGGAGACGTGGAGTCTGAGTAACGAGGAGAGGCTGCAGGCGGTGCCCGTGCTCCACGGCGAGGGGAACCGGCTCTTCAAGCTGGGCCGATACGACCAGGCCTCCGCCAAGTACCAGGAGGCCATCATCTGCCTGCGGAACCTGCAGACGAAGGTGGGGGCCGCGGGCGGGGGGGGGAGGGGG